CTTCTGGGGTGTGAGTTTTCATTCGCATATAGTCCTGGGGACCATTCAGGCTTGTTCGCATTTGTGTTCCTCACGTGTGCCCCAAAGAATGAGGTGATTTGGTGAAATGCTATGCCCAAGATTACCATCCGAGTTGCCGTCGGGGAAGTGGCTCAAATAGCCTCGGCTATCACTTCCTTTTGACGGCCGTGATGGTCAAGCGGATTAAGGCGCCCTGTAGTTACCAGTTGCGTTGCTTCTGGGAGTATGGGTTCGAGTCACTTCTGGGGTGTGAGTTTTCATTCGCATATAGTCCTGGGGACCATTCAGGCTTGTTCGCATTTGTGTTCCTCACGTGTGCCCCAAAGAATGAGGTGATTTGGTGAAATGCTATGCCCAAGATTACCATCCGAGTTGCCGTCGGGGAAGTGGCTCAAATAGCCTCGGCTATCACTTCCTTTTGACGGCCGTGATGGTCAAGCGGATTAAGGCGCCCTGTAGTTACCAGTTGCGTTGCTTCTGGGAGTATGGGTTCGAGTCACTTCTGGGGTGTGAGTTTTCATTCGCATATAGTCCTGGGGACCATTCAGGCTTGTTCGCATTTGTGTTCCTCACGTGTGCCCCAAAGAATGAGGTGATTTGGTGAAATGCTATGCCCAAGATTACCATCCGAGTTGCCGTCGGGGAAGTGGCTCAAATAGCCTCGGCTATCACTTCCTTTTGACGGCCGTGATGGTCAAGCGGATTAAGGCGCCCTGTAGTTACCAGTTGCGTTGCTTCTGGGAGTATGGGTTCGAGTCACTTCTGGGGTGTGAGTTTTCATTCGCATATAGTCCTGGGGACCATTCAGGCTTGTTCGCATTTGTGTTCCTCACGTGTGCCCCAAAGAATGAGGTGATTTGGTGAAATGCTATGCCCAAGATTACCATCCGAGTTGCCGTCGGGGAAGTGGCTCAAATAGCCTCGGCTATCACTTCCTTTTGACGGCCGTGATGGTCAAGCGGATTAAGGCGCCCTGTAGTTACCAGTTGCGTTGCTTCTGGGAGTATGGGTTCGAGTCACTTCTGGGGTGTGAGTTTTCATTCGCATATAGTCCTGGGGACCATTCAGGCTTGTTCGCATTTGTGTTCCTCACGTGTGCCCCAAAGAATGAGGTGATTTGGTGAAATGCTATGCCCAAGATTACCATCCGAGTTGCCGTCGGGGAAGTGGCTCAAATAGCCTCGGCTATCACTTCCTTTTGACGGCCGTGATGGTCAAGCGGATTAAGGCGCCCTGTAGTTACCAGTTGCGTTGCTTCTGGGAGTATGGGTTCGAGTCACTTCTGGGGTGTGAGTTTTCATTCGCATATAGTCCTGGGGACCATTCAGGCTTGTTCGCATTTGTGTTCCTCACGTGTGCCCCAAAGAATGAGGTGATTTGGTGAAATGCTATGCCCAAGATTACCATCCGAGTTGCCGTCGGGGAAGTGGCTCAAATAGCCTCGGCTATCACTTCCTTTTGACGGCCGTGATGGTCAAGCGGATTAAGGCGCCCTGTAGTTACCAGTTGCGTTGCTTCTGGGAGTATGGGTTCGAGTCACTTCTGGGGTGTGAGTTTTCATTCATATATATATATATATATATATATACATATGTATGTATATATATATATATATATACATACATACATATATATATATATGTCGTACCTAGTAGCCAGAACTCACTTCTCAGCCTACTATGCAAGGCCCGATTTGCCTAATAAGCCAAGTTTTCCTGAATTAATATATTTTCTCTAATATTTTTCTTATGAAATGATAAAGCTACCCATTTCATTACGTATGAGGTCAATTTTTTTTAATTGGAGTTAAAATTAACGTAGATATATGACCGAACCTAACCAACCCTACCTAATCTAACCTAACCTATCTTTATAGGTTAGGTTTGGTTAGGTAGCGGAAAAAGTTAGGTTAGGTTAGGTTAGGTAGTCGAAAAACAATTAATTCATGAAAACTTGGCTTATTAGGCAAATTGGGCCTTGCATAGTAGGCTGAGAAGTGAGTTCTGGCTACTAGGTACGACATATATATATATATATATATATATATATATATATATATATATATATATATATATATATATGTCGTACCATATATATATATATATATATATATATATATATATATATATATATATATATATATATATATATATATATATATATATATATGTCGTACCTAGTAGCCAGAACTCACTTTTTGGCCTACTATGCAAGGCCCGTTTTGCCTAATAAGCCAAGTTTTCATGAATTAATTGTTTTTCGACTACCTAACCTACCTAACCTAACCTAACCTAACTTTTTCGGCTACCTAACCAAACCTAACCTATAAAGATAGGTTAGGTTAGGTTAGGTAGGGTTGGTTAGGTTCGGTCATATATCTACGTTAATTTTAACTCCAATAAAAAAAAATTGACCTCATACATAATGAAATGGGTAGCTTTATCATTTCATAAGAACAAAATTAGAAAAAATATATTAATTCAGGAAAACTTGGCTTATTAGGCAAATCGGGCCTTGCATAGTGGGCCAAAAAGTGAGTTCTGGCTACTAGGTACGACATATATATATATATATATATATATATATATATATATATATGTCGTACCTAGTAGCCAGAACTCACTTCTCAGCCAACTATTCAAGGCCCGATTTGCCTAATAAGCCAAGTTTTCCTGAATTAATATATTTACTATAATTTTTTTCTTATGAAATGATAAAGCAACCCTTTTCTCTATGTATGAGGTCAATTTTTTTTTATTGGAGTTAAAATTAACGTAGATATATGACCGAACCTAACCAACCCTACCTAACCTAACCTAACCTATATTTATAGGTAAGGTTAGGTTAGGTAGCCAAAAAAAGCTAGGTTAGGTTAGGTTAGGTAGGTTAGGTAGACGAAAAAACATTAATTCATGAAAACTTGGCTTATTAGGCAAATCGGGCCTTGAATAGTAGGCTGAGAAGTGCGTTCTGGCTATTAGGTACGACATATATATATATAAAACATAGTCTTGAAAGCATATTTACATAATTTTTTTATTAATCGGAAATTATGGTTACATGCAGTAAATCTCTTTCAATTAGCAGTCTTGAAAGCATATTTACATAATTTACTTTTTATTACAGGGCGATGTTGCTTGATACGTTCAATAAATCCCTTTGAAATATGGCTTGAAGACTTTTAAGTACATAATTGTTATTTGTATTAAACGAAGAGAGAGAGACAGAGACAGACAGACAGACAGACAGAGAGAGACAGAGACAGAGACACTGTGGTTGAGCAGATTGCAGCAACCTGCTTACGTATCGCACCCAAAAAACAAACGGCGCGAGAAAGGGAGTTTAGGAACGTCATGTGACCACTTGAGTTGCCGGCGGCCAGCTGGGGAGTGTTGACGTTTGTGACGTCACGCTTCCATGAGCTACGTGCAGCCAATCAGGAGGCGGGATGCTTCCTGTCTTCCCCCCCCCCCTCCATCCATCCTCCCCCCCCTTTTTTTATGTTCATGGTGTACATAATACTTGATGGGGTTTTCAGGCTTTGAAGTGGTGATAGGCCACGTTAGCCACTTCCGGCGTTATGGTGGCAGTGCATTGCGTACTTAGTGGCTTTTAAACAATACAAAAATACAATTACTATACAAATTTCAAAATCATTGTATTTCACTGCATTATACAATCACTGTAATTAGTGGGGTCTTAAGCAATAATATAATCACTATACAAATAATAAAATCATTGTGCTACAATCACTGTTCATTATACAGTCAATTTTATTATACATGTAAACTGCAGCATAACCATTGTATATTTCTGTATAAATAAAAGTCGAATTATTGACTTATGTGGTAAATGGAAATAAAAGGCTTCAAATAAAAGTAGACACGTATACGTGTGCCTGCGGGGTTGAGCTTCAGATATTGGGGCCTGCCTTTCGACCGTCAGTCGGCTGGTGCGCCCAAAACTTAGGCTCTCTCGCACCTGCATATGAAGCTGTATATGGAGTCTAACTCCACCATTTCATTCCTTAGCGCTTTCCATTCACTGTAGATAGAATGTGAATAAACGTAGTTTTACTAGGATTAAAAAGAAAATAAGAACCAAAATAGGGCTGTAGAATTACATATTTCTACCCAAGGCTTCCTAGAATTACGTAAAGAAGAAACATTACATTTTCACAAATCATATTAGAATCTTCATATATAAATGGTTAGTAATAAATGTAGGGCGTTAAGAAAACAATTTTACTAGGGAAGATGCTCATAACGAAATAAGGCCAAAATAGAGCCTTAGAATTAATTACCCACAACTTATGTAACTAGAGCAGCTCATCCTCAAAAAAGATGATGTTTATACAAATTGTTTAGTCAAACGTACAAAAATTGGGCTGTTGGGCCCATTTTTAGGCCCAACAGTCAGTTTGGGTCACAAGGAAGTGGCTGTACAAATGAATTGTACATGAAAAAGAAATGGCTTTTTTAAATAAATATTAAAAATTAACTAAAGAACCAAGTAATCTGTCCTAGGCCTAATATAAGCCTAATGTAGTACATGAATGTAATATGTTAGGCCTAGGAAAGTTTAGGTATAATTTTTGTTTCCGGTGCCCTCAACAAAAATAATAGCATATAACGTGAACTTTGTTGGCAGCAACATCTATAATATATTATTGTTAATGAAGATTGAAGGTAAATAAAAGTAATCTGTCAGGCATGAACGCCTACAATACATTAATCTAGCACACACTATTGCTGGTGACACGGTAGGATGTGCACATTGTACACGGTAGGATGTGCACATTGTACACGGTAGGATGTGCACATTGTACACTGTAGGATGTGCACATTGTACACTGTAGGATGTGCACATTGTACACGGTAGGATGTGCACATTGTACGCGGTAGGATGCGCACATTGTACACGTGGTGTTGATGCACCTGCCAATACACGAGGTTAACACGTGTTGCCCATTGCCACAGGTGAAGATGTGTCCGCTGTATCCAGTACATCTGGTGTTGCTGTACGGGTCGCTGGTGGTGTGTGTGTGGGCTGCCGGCCTGGGCACCCTCGTCAACGCCGCCACCAATGTTCTCACCCTCAAGCTCAGACTCCAGCTGGACAATTTATCCATCAGCACCCTGGACCTCCAGGAGGGCGAGGAGAAGCAGGTCACCTTCTATGTCGATGATCTGCCGCCCCACGTGCTTGGGGACATAATTATTCAGGTTGGTGTGGATTTTATATACTGTAATATATATAATTTTTGTATCTTAATGTTTTCAGCAATGTAACATAATAATAATGTACAGAAATGTAATGATCACATTCATATTATTTTATCTTTCCTCTCCCTTTCTCAGTTTTTCCATGCTTGCTTCCTCAATATTGTTTTACTGAGAAAAATTTGCAAAATTAATTAGCCTATTAGGACTCGTTTCATTAATTGGGTATCTTCTAGAGAACGTCTTAAGTCTCTAAATGTTCATGTACGTCATGGTTTTGTCATACAGGTACAGTACTTGAATATAGTTTTCAGATTCTTTTTTTCTTGCTCAAGTTTTTCATTCAGTATTTTAAGAACTTCTCATCATACTCATTTGAAACTAAAAGTGCTAAAGTTTGAGCTACAAAGTACAGCTGCTGATGAAATTGAGCAGCATACTCCAGTAGCAAATTTTATTTCCCATGCAATAGCTTAAGAAAGTCTCATCAGCTAAAATGAAACAACCAACACTTATTTATGCAGCCCGTCCTCAGGCTAAATCCATTACCATGAGAAACCACACACACCCCCTTAAACCACCCAGATAGTTATCTATATATTTGTGATGGTCTGGTCTGAAAGCATATTACAGTTCCAGAAATAGTCTACATGTAAACTGGCAAGTGAAACTTTGTCCTAAACAGAGATTATTATTATGTCATAACTTTTTGTATTATAAATAGTTGATTTAAAATATAAAAACCATATGATGAAAACATTTCTATTGAAAAATTTGGTTTTCTGTAAACTAAATTCTCGGGTACATTGAAAAGGTTTTCAAATTCGATATTTCACATTTTTTGCCAATAATAACATAACCAAATGTAATGAAAGCTAACCTAACCAAACCTTAACTTAAAGTAACCTGAACCTAACTTAACCAAATGTAATGAAATCTAATCTAACCAAACCTAAAGTAACCTTAACCTAACCTAACCATGGATAGAGAGTAGATAATAGCACTAATTATGTAATCATTCTCAAAGCATTCCTGTGAGCAGATTTACTTAGATTTACTGTGCCATACTACTTAGTGTCATCAGTTGCAGAGTTTTATTTGCTTATCCGGGACCACAAGCCACAACCTGGCCCCCTCAGAGAGGTGCAAGGAGCGATGGCCTATGGGCACTTTACATTTAAAGGGTTATCATCTTTGCTACCACCAAGAGAAGGCACCTAGAAAGATAGGCGAATCAGACCACTGTATGGTTAAAAATGAGACCGCAGCCCCAAAATGCCAAAAGAACTCCCCAACAATGAAAACAAACAACCAAAATTTCTAGGTCATCAAGTTTGGTATTCAATATCTTGGAAAGTACAGTACTGTATCTCCATAGCTAGAATGAGACCTGAGTTGAACGCTCTCATTCTCTAGGACTCTTAGCAGAGTTAGTCCTTGACTCGGTTGTTTATCATGTTATTTTTCATCTTCTTATCATGAAGAAATTTTGTTGATTTTTTCTTTCTTGCATATATCTTTGTCCTATTTTATATCTTGAGATGATTTTGAGGTCATCTTGAGATGATTTCGGGGCTTAGTGTCCCCGCGGCCCGGTCCTATACGAGGCCTCCACTCCTAGGAAGCAGCCCGTGACAGCTGACTAACTCCCAGGTACCTATTTACTGCTAGGTAACAGGGGCATCAGGGTGAAAGAAACTCTGCCCATTGTTTCTTACCGGGGCCCGGGATCGAACACGCGTCCAGTGTTCTGTCCGCTCAGCCGCCGGCTATATACTGTAATTTACTTAAGGTAAATTAGTTGGGGGTGTTTCCTATCACCTAATGTGCCTGTTCACCTGGCAGTCAATAGGTACCCAAGAGTTAATCAGCCTGTTGTAGGGTTGCATCCTGGGGAGGGTCAGTAATTTGACCTTGGAGGGGATGAGGGAGGGGGGACCTTGATATGAAGCCTATCAGGTATAATATACACTGGCTGACTGTTCTCCCGACACAATGAATTACTGTACTGTATTATTAATATGAATTATATATAATTTTGAACTATATATTTGTTTTTTAGCTAATCTTGCATTGTATTTGTTATTTATTTTTGCACTGAAGATAAAGCTGTGACTGCAAAAGGTCTTATTTTAATAAAGTGATGTACAGTATATTTTTTCACTTATACTTTTCATCAGAGATGAATAAATATATATGAACGACTGAATGTGAAAGAAAGACTGTTTCTGGGAAATAGCATATTCGTGCAGTAGATTTTATTAATAAACAGAGTTGGGAATATTTAACATGGAACATAAAAACATTTTAAAAATAACATGCAAAACAAAGTACTCTATAATAACTTTATTATATAAAGTATTTTTTTATTATTAAAAACTTTATTAAAAAGTATTTTAATTGCAAGCAAAAGTAATACTCATTATCTCATTTTTACAACAGGATGAGAATGTTGACCACTTAGACCACCTTAAGATATCACCCAACAAGATTCCTCTTGAATCAACCTTCAGAGAAGAGGCTTACGATTCAGGAAATAGCTCAGTTAAAGGATCATTCAATGTTACTGGAAAATTCCTTGGCTTCACTAAGATCAAGCTAGTACTCAGTGATGGCAATGATGAGGAGCTTCTTATCAGCGAGCCCGTTAATGTCAAGGTAAGCTTGGGACATTATGGACCATTAAATTCATTAAACATCATGCAGTCTCCATTCCTTGTTGCCATTTAACCTCAACCTCTTTTCGGACTCTTTAGGTCTTCTTGTTGTCCCTTTTACGGGAGTTTGAATGTGATGGGGGACTACCTAGGACCTCTACCAAGATCATCCATTTGAACATGCTAGAGAATTGGGCAAGCGTCCTTTCTGGTGGCTTCATGCCACAACCACTAAACTGTGTACTACAGACATAGCTGCCACTACAAATAATACAACAGTACAACCACTATAACAGCAATTACAATCATAAGCACAACAACTAAAAGCCACAACCACCATACAACCATATTCATTTCAACTTCAAACACTGCGACTTCTGCCACCATTACAACTACAACCACTGCTACTTAAGCACTGTTACAACCACAATCACTGCTACTTACAACCACTGCTACACAACCAGCCCCTGCTACAACTACAACCAACTCAAACCACCACTATCATATTCATTCCAACACTTTCATATACAGTATGACACACTACAGTCACTATTGCAGTGACTAATGACAACCAATACAACCACAACTACCACTGATGGAAAAGCCAATGGTAATATTTAAGTTAGAAGAAAACATTTACTGATGAGGAAGAAATAAGAAGTAGGTGGAGAGAATACTTTAAAGATCTGATGAATATGCTTGATGTGGTGAAATCTCTGACATGTTCCTTGGTTGTTGCCCTTCATATGCCAGGCTGAAATTATAATTTCCCTTTGTGAAATTGTCCCATAGAGAGTGGGAATTGTTGGGTATGAATGGCTACGCCTTTGAAATAGTGGGTGTAAGATACATTATAGATACTGTATCCCAATTGTTGTTTACTAGTGATTTTGCATATCACTTTTTATGCCAACCTGTGCTTCTTGATCTTTATATCTTCATAGTATTTATGAATATGCTTTGTGTACTTTGTTGTTATAAAGAACCTAAAGAATCCATATTTTTGTATTTTTAGGTGCAACGAGGGCAGCGAGTGCTGGATAAAATCTTTATTCATGTTGTGATTGCCATGGTGATTGTGGCCTACATCAACATGGGTTGTGCCTTAGACCTTAAGGTCATCAAGGAGACACTACGGCGGCCTGTGGCTCCTGCTATTGGCCTCTTCTCACAGTACTTGTTTATGCCACTTGTAAGTCACTTAGCACCGGGTATTGCTCTTGAGGAATTTGCATTTTCATTATTCTTTTTTTCACGACAACTTGTTGACCAGTCATTCTTGATTTAATAGATTACTGTTAAAGATCCTGATTAACTCTGTAGAACCTGTTCAGGTATTTGCATTATAATCCATGTTCTATATTTCCAGTCATTTTCAAGAGTTATATTTAATTTATAACATGTCTCTTAGTGATTTTATGCAGTCAGTTGCACTGTGTTGTTTCATTTTCTTGACTTTCCAGATCTCGTATGCTATTGGTTATGGACTCTTCTATGACAGTCCAGAGATGTGGTTGGGACTGTTCTTAACTGGTTGCTCTCCAGGTGGTGGAGGATCCAACATGTGGACCTACTTGTTGGGTGGCTCCCTTGACCTCTCTGTCACCATGACCTTCATCTCTACTGTGGGTGCCTTTGCTGCCCTCCCGCTCTGGGTGTATGCACTTGCCAGAACCATCTTTCAAGGTACAAGCACGTAATTCTAAGGTTATTTAGGCTGAACAGAGAGAGGTAATAAAAATTAGAAGTTAGGGGGTTACTGCATAGTTAAAGGCAAGGGCAAAGATATTCAGAATAAAATACTAATATTGAAATAAAGTATATATAAAACATTCATTAAATATTCTTAATTGAAGTACTGTAATTAAATCGATGGTAATGTGAACAAGATTATATTTGACATTGTGAGAAGTGTGAAATATAGCACTGTATATATGCAGGCAGATATGTCAGTAGAAAAGTTGAGTGCATCAGTTAAAAAAAAATGTCAGAAGGCTGCAAGTATTGATTAGGTATATGCAGACATGATTAAATATTGTAGAGAAAAAGGAATGGAAGGACTGTGGAGAATGTGCCAAAGGATATAGAATAGTAGTAATGTGCAAGAGGGCAGAAAAAATGAGTTGGGATTATACCACTGAATAAAAATTAAGAAGAGTGCATGATATTGATTGGAAGTGTACAGGAAATTACGGACATATGAGCTGGCAGAGGGTGTGTATCATATATTTACATTGAGACAACTCCATGTAAAGTAAAAGAAAAGTATGTGTGAAGGGTGGTAAGAGATTCAGTATATGGCATATGACAAAGTTTATAGGGAACACATGTATGAAGTCAGCCAAGTTCTGTTAAACGCTAGGAAACATTTATCCAAGAAGTAGTGTGTGTAAAAGTAAATAGTGTATTTTATATGACTGGTTTGTATGATATCGTGGTTGTCCAAAACATTATTTATATTGATTGGGCTCTGAGGGAAGTCCAGGCAATAATATTGTAGAAAGGTTTAAATCTAGCACATAAGAATCACATGAATAATTTACAAAGTTGAGTGTGTCATATGATATATACAGTACAGTATTTATAATAAAGTAATATTTACATCATTCCAAGCCAAGTATTACATACACTAATCTTAATAAAGTAGAGTTGAAGTGGCACAAGCCTTGAAAGATAGTAAAACCATTCATTTCTGTAGCTTTGGGAAATCTTAATAATTATCATAATATATCTATCTAGCTGGAACCCTCTTTTAAATGTCCCTTTCTATTTAAATGGAAATGTTAGTGGTCTTTTTCTCTTGGCTTGTCCTACAAGGTAAATGGATAAAATATAAATATATAATATTACATACACTACCATATTTTAATTTGTTTAATATATTTTCCAGGTGGTCATTTTTCAAAGCTTCCATACAAGAACATTGCCTTTTTGGTAGTGGGGCTGCTGCTGCCTCTGTCCATCGGTCTGCTGATCAAGTGGCGATCTCAGCGTGTGGCTGTAGTCTTGAAGCGTCTCTTGAAGCCAGTCTCTATTATTTTCATCATCTTCATCATGACTTTTGGAATATATGCAAATTTCTACATTTTTGCTTTCTTTGATTGGAGGGTGAGTAGTGTGTATTGCAATAGGGTATAAAGGTATAAGCATAAATTTTGTGTGGGTTAAACTGCAAACTATGAACAAAGAAGACAAAATGTGTTATGATGCTTGGTATGCCTGCAAAACCACTGTCATTTGCAGTGTTATAAACAAAATTCAGATGGATTTGCCTATCATCCTGTTCTAAGAAAATTATTGCTGGATATAGAATTAACTCTTGCTCAAACAGACTGATTAGTTTCTGAACCTTCTGGTACGTCTGCTCTTACCGATTTTCACTTCTTGAATAAAATTAGTATTTTTATTAGTACTGTGCAAATTATAGAACATGTATTTGCCGTTATTTTGCTACAAAACATCCTTGAAAAATGTACATTCTTGAAATAAATTGTTTAATTATTTCAAGTCTAATGCCACTAAATTTTGTCAATCAGGAGTTTCTTGATTATCTAGACACATAATTTGTTTCACTGAATTAGAGTACAAAATACAGTTCTACTATTAATAATAATAATGTTTATTATACAAAATATGTACACTACAATGATTATATTACATTATTCTGTAAAATCATTGGTGACTGAATTACATTTCTTATTTTTCCACTGATCCAATGTATTACAGTATAAGTTGTTCAATCCAAGGCATTGTAAATAAAATACAATATACTGTATTCTAGAAATTATGAGAACATGTTTTCTTAATTAATATATGAAATTTCTTGATTAATATATGAAATAAACCTTTATGGAGTTGAAAGACAAAATTCACAACACTTTTCATGTTCGTCAGATTAAGACAGTAATGTAAAACACTGAGTATTGTGCTTGGTAAAAATTAAACTGTCTGAGATTACAGAATTTTCATAGCTGCCTAACCTATAAGTTAGGAAGATTCAACTTACTAATAAGAAGCACATTATTTGCTTATACAGGTGGCATTGGCAGGTATGCTGTTACCTTGGCTCGGTTTTATCTTCGGTGCTGTAGCCTCCCTCCTCTGTCGTCGCAATTTGGAGGAGTCGATTGCCATCAGTATTGAAACTGGCGTTCAGAATACTGGACTATCTATTGGCATTCTTAAGGTAACTACAACAATATTCTCTCTAGCTACACATCATTGAATCATTTGACATTTGTTAAGCTGTTTATTAGCACATGCTATTTTTATTTCCATTAAAATGCTTGCAAATAATTGCTGTACTGTATAGTAAAAACAAAAAAATTGCATAATAGGTATGACAGTTATCAGGTGAAAGTGCTAGTGCTAAGCCATTACAACTTGTATAGCACTTTGAAGGGATGAGGATAAGGATTCAGGATAGAATGGAGGAAAAGAATGGTGTCCAACCAGTTGGATGATCAGGGATTGAACACCGACCTGCAAGAAGGGAGACTATCTCTCTACTGTCCAGTTCAAGTGATTGATGTGTGATGTGCAACACCCATGTGTTGAATTGGGTATCATTGTATTGGTGGAGTACTCAGCATCAATGTTTACAATCATTTTGTGGTTGCCCAATAGTATAGTGAAAAGAAAAAGACTTGCATAATAATTTATGTAACTAATGTGATTATATTTAAAAAAAAAAAATTGCCAGCAGAGCAGCAAGCCAGTCTGTCTTCAAATGTTGATAAAAATCTATAGTTTGTACAGCTATTATTTATAATTCCCGTTGTTAGGGAGAGGAAGCCAATACTGTACTTGGGCTTATCGAAGCCTTGCCCTAGGCCAACTACTGACCTCACCCAGGTGCAACCCACAACATTTGTCTAACTACCGGCGATCTATTTAACTGCTATTTAAAACAGATTAGGGGTACTAATTTTGATCTCGTGTAGATTTAGTCTGCATAAATTTTAATTTCATAAAACTGAGATTCAGTAGTGTTGGCAATCACATAACTGTACACTACATATTTATTTCATTGACCAGCTCACATACTGTTTTATCATGAGAATATTCTGTAATTCCTGTACCTATGTAATTAGTAAACAATCCCCCATTGATTGAATTGAAGAAATTGGTATAAAATTTAAAATGAGAGAAATAAATGCAATGCATGTTGACAAATAGCAGTTGTCCAACTTTTGTTATTTTTACTTTACTCATAACAGGTGGCTCTGAAGGACTACGCACCACTGGGGGATATAACGATGGTGATCCCGATTGCTGTTGCAACCATGACACCAATACCCCTTACCATTGCTTACATCATCAAACGTATTCAAGACTGCCGTAAACGCCACAGGAAACTAGAGCTCAAGTGTCCTTATGATGATGAGGATGAGATAAAGAATGACGTGCCATTGTCTGCCTCCACGTCTTGCACACCACTCCACAAGGATGCTAACGACAACTCCAAGATCGTACTGGCTTGATCATGTTTACTAGTTGATGTGCAGATTTACATTGGGTTTTTTCTGCATCAAATACCTATTTTGAGAATTATTGCCAAAAAATAATTGAAATAATTGTCGAGAAAGAATTACAATTGTACAAATGTGATGTAAAATGTTGGTCACATGATCCTGTCAGGAATAGTTTGAAGATATAGTAAGATGGTGTATAATTCAGAAGTATTTGCCTTATTGATATTAAAGAAGCCTTAAGAATACAATGAATGAACCAACATTCTCACTCTCACTCTGATTCATAAATAATATAGTTGTGTACACTACAAAATATAGAATAGGAAAAGTAAATATATTTTATAATTTGTATGAAGATTTTAAGATTCCATTGATTATCTAAAGCAACTTGTGCTTATCAATAAATATGTTTGTGTTAGTATTATTTTCAATATACATAATTCGGTTACGGATGGTATAATCTTTAGAATCTGTCCCGAAAGCAGTTGTAAGGAATCCTTTCAGATTCCAGGGAAGAACCCAGAAAAAAAGGTCACTTGAAGAGTTGCTTGTTTTTTTTTTTCTAATGGAGTTATTTTGATCTCTTGGGATGTAGATTGCACAGGTTAATCAGACAGCAGTCTGTTTTGATTCGCCTATCTTTCTGGGTCCTTTCCCGGTTGATGGCAATTATGACATACAGTACTTTAAATGTAAAGTGCTCATAGGCCATTGCTTCCTGTGCCTCTCTGAAGGGGCCAGGTTCGGCTCGTGGTTCCCGGTAAGCATAAGAATCTCTGACTGATGACTACAAATTAATATTGTACACATCAGTTCAGATAGCTTCAGGGAGCCACCGGGGCTCAGCCAGAAAATGGCGTTTCATTACATTCAACGCTTTTTTTTTTTATTTGCATATTAAATCTTTGGTAAAACCTATTCAGCCTATTTTGAATGGGCTGAATTGAAATTACATTGTGCATACATTACATGTGCAAATAAAAGTACTTAATGATTTATGAGTCATTGGTGAGTGTATAAATTTATTCATAGCTATTTTCTAATGTGTGTTATGAAACTGCTTAATGTGTACAAATTAAATTAGTTAAAAGGTACAAATATTGTGGTGATAATGGAAGTTCTTAAATTAGAAAAACTTTAATTAATAATACTCTATGCAGTTTGTATATTTTCGTATTCCAGTTATTAACTAAAGTGCCAATGTGAGATATTTTTGGGATCTTAGGTAAGAGTTAGTTTCTAACACCATGTCTTATAAATTATATGTTCTTCCAGCAATATTGAATCTCTTCAAACCCAGGTAGGACAAAATAATTGTTCTGTATGTGATTTAGATAAATAAGCCATTATGGAAAAAGGCACCAAGTCTGGAAGACTATTTAGCACCATCAGTGTCACAAAATGTTTAATAAAGTATGACCTACCTTGTGGTTACCATGCGTTGATTTTGGGATTCAACGTCCCCGTGGCTAGGTCTCGACCAGGCCTCCTGGTTGATAGTCTGGTCAACCAGGCTGTTGGTACAGTAATAAAAATATAACATACTCCAAAGCAAAGTATTTGTTATTACTGTACATTACAGGAATGTAAAAACTTAAGTGTAAAGAATTTTTTTTGTTATATAGAGTAACATAACAGTGCTGTGTGCCTAAGCTTGTTAATAAAAAAAATTTTTATTTATATATCTGTCAGCACAGGAACAGATAAATAAAGCCAGCCATAAAAAATGTGTTACATTGATAGAATGAAATGATTGGTGTTAATATTAATTACATATTTGCTTCTAATATTCAAATTAAACATGTAACGACTTGCTCTCTTATAATATAAACATCATTGGCAAGAATGATTGGACTTACATGATGCACTTGCCAGTGAAGGTGCACACTTGACTTCTCTCCTTGTTCCTAACATAGAAATATTATTGAAATAGAACTGAAAGTCAGTATTGTAAATGGCCTTCATTATTGCAGTTAGGCCACTAAGGACTTTTATATGATACATTCAACTTCTGTATGTTGATTTGTGAAATATTTTATACAAAATATCTGATTTTTGTAAATTACAACTTTGTTGTGCACAATCTTGAGATGTGCATCAACACTTACCAGTTGTGGCCTCAGAATTAAGATACAATACTTCAGTGCCTGGAGCTTGTAGCTCAGCCTTCAACTGTGCTTTGCAAAATCAAGCTATGTTCTTAACTGTTTTCTGCAACTGTTACTGCAAAGTGAATTTCATTAATTACAGGTAGTGCTGAAAGCATCTTATTGCTGTATAAAATGGTGATGGAATGCTGTGAGGTTTATAAAAACCAATAAAATGAAGATAAATCAAAGTAGAGCAGTCTTTGTCCTCTGCTTTCAACTGAGGGACTTTGTGTTAAATCTTTAGGCAGAACAGAAATCGTTGGTCACATTTCCTTTCACCTAATTCGTCTGTTCACCTAGCAGCAAAATAGGTACCTGGGAGTTGAGTAATTGTTGTCGGTTGCATCCTGGGGAAGGTCAGTAGTTGGCCTAAAGTGTCCTCAATAAGCCATTGTTTTGTCCCCAACAGTGAGAATTGTAAGTTTGCAATTTATTAAATGAAAGATGAGTTATGGGAAAGGAATACTATCAGCCTGCTAACAGGAGTCAGAAGTCGTCTGTTCCTGTACCCACCTGTGTAAAAAAAAAAATGTATAGGGAGGACTGTGTTGTCAGATATACATGTTATCAATAGATGCAGTGAGTATATTAAGCCAATCTGATACAAATGATAAAGAAAAGGCAAGGATAATGTGGTTTGGAAGAAGACCAGTAGAATAGAGGATGATAGGCAGAGGAAACTAAGAGTTTCAGATGGGAAAGGCATCTGGTATTGATGGTATAACTGCAGATATGTTGTGGTATTGGTGGATACATTAAATGTAGTTCAGGTTGAATGGCAGGAAAATGAGGTACATAAGTACTGGGCAAAGGCCATTATGGTACTAAATCTATATATGTGGTAGAGAGTGCAAGAATAATTACAAAAACATGTGATTTGGTTATGCATAAGTATGTACATGGGAGAGAAAAATTGAAATAATGTGAGTACTTTCATGATTCAACATATTTTCAAGGAGTACTTGAAAATGTGCTAAATCATGTGAGTGCTCGGGTTATTTTCGGGTCTCTATCCTATGTGCATTACGAATAAGGTGATGTAAGGAAGATGTGGGAATTGTATGAGTTTACTATGCATCCCAGAAGACGTGTATGCAAGGATACAGTGAGAGAGTAAGATATAACAAAAAATTTCTACCTGATTTTATGAACTTCAAAAAAGTGTATGACTGGATTGATTGTGAAGCGAAGTATATTGTAGAGAAGGATTGAGCCCATAAATAGCATTAAAATCCTTTTATATAAATGCCAGAGTATATGAGAGATTAAAGTAAAAATTAGAAAGATTTAATTGTTAAAGTGGGCATAAGAAAGTGTTGTGTAATGACTGTGGTTCTTTAGTTTCTATATGGATGGATTAAAGAGGTAAAGTTCAGAACACCTGAAGTGTGAGTGGAATTGGTTTAAAATTAATTACTCACCTAGTTATACTTGCAGGGGTGAGCTTTGTCTCTTAGGTCCCACCTCCCAACCGTCAATTTACTGGTATACAGATTCTTGAGCTTCTCGAGCTCCATCTTATCTACATTTGAAACAGTATATGGAGTCAGTCTCCACCACATCACTTCCTAGTGCTACTAGGAAGTATATAGTAGTATAGTTAGTATACATTTACTAACTACTCTGACACTGAAAACTGACGCTGAAAAAGTTCTTTCTAATGTCTCTGTGGCTCATTTGGGTACTCAGCTTCCACCTGTGTCCCCTTGTGTGTGTACCACCAGTGTTAAATAATCTATCCTTGTCTACCCTGTCAATTCCCCTGAGAATTTTGTATGTGGAGATCATTTCTCTTTAAGCTCTTCTGTCTTCCAGCAATATGAGGTGCAGTTCACTCAGCCTTTCCTTGTAACTCATGCCTCTTAGTTCAGGAACCAGCCTAGTGGCATACCTCTGAACTTTTTCCAGCTTTGTCTTGTGTTTGACAAGATACGGGCTCCATGCTAGAGCCGCATACTCCACGACTGGTCTTACATATGTGCTATTGACATGTCTGTATGCAAAGGATGTGGTGAGCATTTTAGAGCAAGGAATGACACAATGTGGATTTTGTAGATACAGTAGCTATATAGTGGCAAGACATAATGATTTGTACTGCAGGATAAAAATGGGATAAGAGATGCTAGAAGAGGTGGGTTTGAAATAATAAGGGGCAGTACTGAGTAGAAATGGAGTATATTGAAGGCAAAATAAAAATGGGGTCATTGAGTGGAAGGAGAAGTAAATGATATAATGAAAGGAAGGAATATTAGTATGGGGTTAATAAAGAGCTGATAGTACTGTATATTACTCTACTACCAACTCTGACATAAGCAAGTAAACCTAGGGAATGGAAAGAGCTAGAGTATGCCAGAGTATAAGCATTGGAAATTATTTTTTGTTAGAAAAGTTGCTGATGTAAGTAATGAAGTATATTTGTAAAAGGGTTGAGGGAATTAAATTTGGAGTGGGTAAGGTGCTATGCACTTGGGTGGCACAGTATGTAAGTTTGTAGAATATTTCAGAATCATTTAACAAAAAGGCTGTACAAGAATGAAATGATGGAATTATGTAGTCGAGGCAGAAGATCAGTATCCTTGAAGAGAAGCATGGAACTATATAGTTGTATGAAAGAAATAGTGTGAGGCGAGGGATTAGAAAGCTTGAGTGGATGTGGGATAACAGAACCTCCTGGAGGAACTTCTGCTGCAGCCATCACTTGATGGGTAGCTCCTAGAAGGAAGTTAGGTGGCTCAGTAATAGGTAGATACTGTAGATAGAATAACTGCTGTCCTTGCACACAGCAGCATGCTTCACTAAAAAATAATAAAAAAAGGATAATACCAATATACTGTAAATTCTGGCTGCCAATATATTCTGATGTGTTGTAATCTTTGGCATACAAATGACACTAATATGCGTCGTCAATACTTTGACAATAAATGTTCCGATGATACTTAAAATGTATCGTCTGATCTCCAAATTTCTGAAAGTCACATCCTTAACCATTCAATTTGCACATTCACGATGAAACTTCAAATACGTTAGCCCAGTGTAAGTAGAGCTTATCAGGTAATCAACCAGAGATGATAAGTGTTCTGCCTCTGTGTATTTTCTCTTTGCTTGCAAATTATCTGACAGAAAAGTAAAAGATATGCTTGTTTTCTTCTTTACAGTTATATAGGCTGATCATGTGTGCATACAGTATTTCTATATTTTGTATTTTTATTTGTTGAAAAAGAAATAAGTAACATTGAAATGTTCATAAGCATTTGTATAGTTAGAGCCATCACACACAATCTATTATTCCCTTTTGTTTTACATCTAAACTCTAGAACGCTCATTTGCATACATTTTGATACCAAATTTATAGTTATATAACCTGATCCTTGAGAGGCCCTGAATATTTACAACTGGGCACGCTGTAAGGGGCCAGAATGTTAAAATGTTAATACTGCACAGTATTTAAATTGTTAACACTGAAGTGAATGGCTATTTCAACTCTAAAAATATTTTATTAAAATTTAATATGAACTTGTTGTTTTATTATACTCCTGCTTACCTGATTTACCTACATTTGATCATTTAAATATTAACATTTAATCTTAATCTTTAAACTTACATTTTAAGATCAGTATGCTTATATTTTGAAGTTCTTTATGAGGTCTTTATTACTGTATGTAATGTATTATTATACAGTTAACCCTGGATTGTACTAGTAATGGGGTTCTGGGAGTTCTACTCCTCAAGCCCAGCCCGGGGCCAGGCCTGACTTGTGAGAGCTTGGTCCAACAGGCTGTTGCTTGGAACAACCCGCAGGCCCACATATCCACTACAGCCCAGACCTCCGGCACTAATTGAAGAAAACTATCCAGTTTTCTCTTGAAGGCAAAGTTAACTTAATAATCCTGAGCAGCTTATAATATATAATAATATACAGTATATTTACAATGAAAAATGTTTTGGTTATACAGTATATTATATAGTACAGTATAACATTGTTTTTTCACTCTATCACACAGAGTATTTTGGACAAATATTAAAAGTTGGTGATTTTATCAAAATTTTAATTGCACTAAAAATGTTGCCAAGGGTACTTTTGTGTATCCTGATTATGAATGTAGGGTCAAAAAAGATGTAATATGAGTAATTCGCTTTGTACTGAGTTCTTGATGCAATGGGCATGTTTTTGTTTAATCTAACATGTATGATGAAAAGGGTACATTGTAGCAAGGTTTTTATATCAACAAATAACTTCAACACAAGTTGACAGCGTTGATTACATTGGTAAGGATACAGTATATGTCTTAAGTACTGTACTAATATTGGGGAAATGGGTAGTACAAGATACAGTATGAAGAACAAGGTAGGAAACTATGAGGATGAAATTAGGTACTTTTTATTTTACTTTTACTTATACTTATATGGTTATCTTGAGATGATTTCGGGGCTTTAGTGTCCCCGCAGCCCGGTCCTCAACCAGGCCTCCACCCCCAGGAAGCAGCCCGTGACAGCTGACTAACACCCAGGTACCTATTTTACTGCTAGGTAACAGGGGCATAGGGTGAAAGAAACTGCGAATTGTTTCTCGCCAGCGCCCGGGATCGAACCCGGATCACAAGTCCAGCGTGCTGTCCGCTTGGCCGACCGGCTCCCTTATGATCCGGATAATTTCTTCAAAAGATCAGATGTAAGACAAACAAGTAGGAACGGTGTCAAGCTCAACAAGCCACAGTGTAAGGCTGAGAACAAGAGATGCTTTTTTACCCACAGGATTATAAACCCATAGAACCGCCTACCCTCCGAAGCCATAAATTTACCCCCCAAAAAATTGAAAATTGAAAATTATGATAAATATCCTCAGGACAAATGGAGAAACTTTGACAAGTCACCGGCTTCCTGTCCTCGTTCAGGCCACGAGTGTTAGTGGCACTCAGGTAAATTCAGGTAAATACTGGTTGTGCTTCACCCACTTCACAACAACTAAATTCAATTTTAACTCCACATTGTATTCAATCACAGATTTAATATTGACAAATGCAAGACCCTGGATGGGTGGTATAACAACCACTGCGCAACTACCAAATTAACAATACATTACAGCCTCTGATTCTGCTATTGAGTTTAATAGGTTCTTCTCTTCCATTGGTTCATCCCTTGCAAATGATATTCCATCTTCCAGTACTGACATTAAGGACTATCTTACAGGTAACTATCCACAGTCTCTGTACCTAAAGCCTATTAACTCCACTGACGTCAATGAGATAATCCTTTCCCTTAAAACCAAGTCTGGTGCCCTTGAGGAGATACCAACATTAATTTACAAAAAAGCCTCCAGATCTTTAGCCCCTGCTATTGCTTTGCTCTTCAACAAGTCACTTGAACTCCAAACCTTTCCAGATATTCTAAAAAAAGCGAGAGTAACGCCTGTCCACAAATGTGGTGACCCCACAGATGTTAACAACTACAGACCTATATCAATCCTGCCAAACTTGTCAAAAAATTTTGAAAAACTTATATACAAGCAGCTTTACTCATATCTAGCCAAACTCAATATACTTAGCCCTTGCCAATATGGCTTCAGACCCAAAAAAAGCACTAACGATGCACTTATTAGTATGCTTAACTCGATTCATACAGCTCTTGATAAAAAGGAGTTCCCTGTTGGGTTATTTGTGGACCTGCGTAAAGCTTTTGATACTGTCAACCACCATAACCTTCTTCTTAAATTACATCATTATGGAGTCAGAGGACACTCCCTACAATACCTCGAGTCCTACCTTACTGACAGGCTCCAATATGTTTCTGTGAATAATACAATTTCTCCCACCCTACCCATCAACATTGGTGTTCCTCAGGGCAGCATACTTGGCCCTCTCCTCTTTCTCATCTACATTAATGACCTTCCAAATGCCTCCCAACACCTCAAACCAATTCTATTTGCTGACGACACAACCTTCATTTACTCCAGTCCTGACCCTCTTGCTCTAAATGCCACAGTAAATACTGAGCTAAATAAAGTCCATCTTTGGCTAACTGCCAACAAACTCACCCTTAACATTGACAAAACCTTCTATATTCTGTTTGGCAATAAATCCTCTAGTCTTATAAATCTCAAAATAAACAATACCCAAATTTGTAACAAATTAGATGGCAAATTCCTTGGCATTCTTATTGACCACAAGCTGAATTTCCAGGGACACATTCTAAATATATCAAAAAAAGTTTCAAAAACTGTGGGCATTCTTTCTAAGATCAGATATTATGTACCACGCCCTGCCCTGGTGACTCTCTATTACTCCCTTATCTATCCTTATCTCAACTATGGTATTTGTGCTTGGGGTTCTACTACCCAAAATCACTTACGTCCTCTAATTACCCAACACAAAGCCGCTATTAGAACAATATCCAACTCTGGCCCCAGACATCACTCGGTACCCCTACTCAAATCTCTTAATATGTTAGATATTAAGTCACTGCACATTCTCTCATGTGTATTATACATATATAAAACGCTAAACTATAATGCCAATCCTGATCTTAAAAGCTTCATAGAAGGTTGTAACAGAACCCATGAGCACCACACCAGAAATAAATACAGTTTTGATATTCCTAGAGTACGTCTTAATCAAACTAGAAATGCTCTGCAAATCAAGGGGCCCAGAATGTGGAATGACCTTCCCAACCATGTTAAAGACTGTACCTCTCTCAACCAGTTTAAGATAAAAACTAAACACTACCTAATAAATTCCCTGTAATCTACCTCACTCCTCTATTGTCAACCCATGTCTGTTTTTTTTTTTTTTGTTTTTTTTTTTTTTTTAATCAACACTGTTTGTCAACCTATTGTATTTGTGCTGCTTTTTCAGTCATGTTCCCCCTTTTTTTTATCTTTATTTGTATTTGTTCTCAACATCTTTTATTCTTTATGCTCAATTAGTATTAAGTTCTAGATATTAATGTTTTCTTGCCCGAAACGCATTGCGTAATAGTGGCTTTAGGCATTGTATGTACTAGCTCTATCTATATATCAATCCATTAATGTAACATCACTTGTATGTATATACCTTACCTGAATAAACATCTGAATCTGAATCTGAATCTGAATTACAACAGATTGAGGAAAAAAAATGACCTTGGAGTCAAAATCCACCATTAGATGAAAGTTACACAGCAGGTAGGGGCAGCAGTCAAAAAGCTAATAAATCATCTACCTACATCACCAGCGACCATAACTACCAGCATTATTAACGACCACAACTACCTGCCTCACCAGCGACCATCACTACCTGCATTATTAACAACCACAACTACCTGCCTCACCAGCGACCATCTCCACCTGCATTATTAACGACCACAACTACCTGCCTCACCAGCGCCCATCACTACCTGCATTATTAATGACCACAACTACCTGCATCACCAGCGACCATCACTACCTGCATCACCAGCGACCATCACTACCTGCATTATTAACAACCACAACTACCTGCCTCACCAGCGACCATCACTACCTGCTTTATTAACAACCACAACTACCTGCCTCACCAGCGACCATCACCACCTGCATTATTAACGACCACAACTATCTGCCTCACCAGCGACCATCACTACCTGCATTATTAATGACCACAACTACCTGCATCACCAGCGACCATCACTACCTGCTTTATTAACAACCACAACTACCTGCCTCACCAGCGACCATCACTACCTGCATTATTAACGACCACAACTACCTGCCTCACCAGCGACCATCACTACCTGCATTATTAACAACCACAACTGCCTGCCTCACCAGCGACCATCACCACCTGCATTATTAACGACCACAACTACCTGCCTCACCAGCGACCAACACTACCTGCTTTATTAACAACCACAACTACCTGCCTCATCAGCGACCATCACTACCTGCATTATTAACAACCACAACCACCTGCCTCACCAGCGACCATCACTACCTGCATTATTAATGACCACAACTACCTGCATCACCAGCGACCATCACTAACTGCATTATTAACAACCACAACTACCTGCCTCACCAGCGACCATCACCACCTGCATTATTAACGACCACAACTACCTGCCTCACCAGCGACCGTCACTACCTGCATTATTAACGACCACAACCACCTGCCTCGCCAGCGACCATCACTACCTGCTTTATTAACAACCACAACTACCTGCCTCACCAGCGACCGTCACTACCTGCATTATTAACGACCACAACCACCTGCCTCACCAGCGACCATCACTACCTGCATTATTAACAACCACAACCACCTGCCTCACCAGCGACCATTACCACCTGCATTATTAACGACCACAACTACCTGCCTCACCAGCGACCATCACTACCTGCATTATTAATGACCACAACTACCTGCATCACCAGCGACCATCACTACCTGCATTATTAACAACCACAACTACCTGCATCACCAGCGACCATCACTACCTACTTTATTAACAACCACAACTACCTGCCTCACCAGCGACCATCACTACCTGCATTATTAACAACCACAACCACCTGCCTCACCAGCGACCATCACTACCTGCATTATTAACAACCACAACTACCTGCATCACCATCGACCATCACTACCTGCATTATTAACAACCACAACCACCTGCCTCACCAGCGACCATCACTACCTGCATTATTAACAACCACAACCAACTGCCTCACCAGCGACCATCACTACCTGCATTATTAACAACCACAACTACCTGCATCACCATCGACCATCACTACCTGCATTATTAACAACCACAACCACCTGCCTCACCAGCGACCATCACTACCTGCATTATTAACAACCACAACCAACTGCCTCACCAGCGACCATCACTACCTGCATTATTAACAACCACAACTACCTGCATCACCATCGACCATCACTACCTGCATTATTAACAACCACAACTACCTGCCTCACCAGCGACCATCACTACCTGCATTATTAACAACCACAACTACCTGCCTCACCAGCGACCATCACTACCTGCATTATTAACGAGCACAACCACCTGCCTCACCAGCGACCATCACTACCTGCATTATTAACAACCACAACTACCTGCATCACCAGCGACCATGACTGGTGAGGCAGGTAGTGGTAGTGGTGGTGGTGGGGGAGGCCAGGAGGGCCCCCACACTGAGGGACCCCAGGGGAGGGGCCGGTGTCGACGGGCCCACACTCACCACAACTTCACATTACAAACTTTTCAACTTGAGTCTTGAGGTGAGTCTTCATTGATGACTATTGACATGCCTTATAGCTTAATGACTTCCCTGGAGGATGATTGTGGCTTGATCACCTAATTAGCGACGCATTACCGGACTTAATCATATTTTTAGCTGGTTAGTGATGTTATCCGGATTGAACAAGCCAATCTGAAATCTTATGGTGTTCGCAGTGTATAAAAATAATGATGTGCACGTCACTGTCAGGTTAAATCACTGAACGGTTTTGCTAGTAACTGGATGGGTGTAAATGTCACTCGGTCAGGTTAATCAGTAGGATCTTGTCAGTAACTGGACGGGTGATCGTGCACGCAGCTTTGCCTGTAACTAGGGTTGACCTGGATAAAGCTAACAGGTTTTCTGTTCCAGACATTGGTATATTATTCAGTATATGAAATGTCTGGTTTTTACTTTAGGTGCATAAGGTTCAAAAAGGGGCCCCAGGAAAAGCTATTCTACATTATAGCTGTTCCTTAAATAAACCGATCCTGCAAATTTAAAAAAAATTTAAATATAAATATGATACACTTTGTGTGATGTATGGAATACCAGATACAAGTCACATCATACAGAAAACTGTTTACCAATAGATTTGAAATATTACCTAACCTAGCTAACCTAGCCCAACCCATCCTAACCTAACCCAAACCAACCAAATCTAACCCAACCCAAACCAACCAAATCTAACCGAGCCTAGCTTTAGGTAATACAGTACATCCTAACAACGATAAATCTGGTTTTGACACTCGGAAAATGAACTTTGTCAAAACACTTGTACAATTTAACCATACCCCATTACATCTCTGCAACGTAACTGAGTTGCCTCTGGTGATCTTTTTGGATACTACATTTATTAGCAGAAGTTATGTAAGGTTTAGGCTAGAAGAGTGTGGGCAGTTAACTCATTACTGCCATTGTTATCTCTCTTACAACTGAAAACAAGAATTTCTTTATTTAAATTTTGCCCCGAGGGGCGAGTTGATTGGGCAGCGCCACTTATCCTGTGAGTGAACATACCTCCATAGCAGCATGTACAACACCCTCAAATAGGAAGAAAACCCGCTGGGTTGCTCATCCTGTTATCTAAATTTCCTTATTGAAATGACAGTGGTGGACAAAACATTTTGCTCGAAGGTCCATAGCTGTTCAACACCCTCCCACCATGCATTAGAAATATTGCTGGAACAAAGGTGGATGTATTCAAGAGGCACTAAGATCAGTTCTGGCAAGAAGTGCCGGACCAACCAGGCTGTAGTGGATATGTGGGCCTGCGGGCTGCTCCAAGCAACAGCCTGTTGGACTAAGTTGTCATAAGTCGGCTAGGGCTCCCCAGAGCAATGGCCTCAGACCGGGCTCGGGGAGTAGAACAACTCCCAGAACCCTCACCAGTTATACTCAGGTATACTGTCTAGTTTGCTGAATATTGTCAATACAACTGAAGAATACTGTATTTTACACAGTCAGGTGCTTGGGTCATAAGTGGGCTCGGTAGTTACATAAATGATTTGCAAAAAACTGTTTTTTTGAGATATATACAAGAGTTGTTACATTCTTGTACAGCCACTAGTACGCGTAGCGTTTCGGGCACGTCCTTAATCCTATGGTCCCTGGAATACGATCCCCTGCCGCGAAGAATCGTTTTTTCATCCAAGTACACATTTTACTGTTGCGTTAAACAGAGGCTACAGTTAAGGAATTGCGCCCAGTAAATCCTCCCCGGCCAGGATACGAACCCATGACATAGCGCTCGCGGAACGCCAGGCGAGTGTCTTACCACTACACCACGGAGACTGTAAAAGTAATTTGAAAGTGTTTAACCTTGATAACGTAATTTAACCTGACCAAATGTAATCTAATCTAACTATAATAATAATAATAATTTTTATTTAAAAGATACAATGGGTTTGTGAGATTACATAAGATTAGTATTTTTACATTCTTACAAAGCCACTGACACGCATAGCGTTTTGGGCAGAACTAAGTGCATAACCCTCCTCCAACTTCTGACTCGAACAAATGTTTTTGTTGTTGATTGAAGCATTTGCCACCATGATGAATTTGTTTTAATTACTGTATACAGTACTCTGATTTACTTCTTGATTTTTTGTTTTCGATTGATTTTGATTTTTGTTTTTTATTTTTTGAGTTGATTGTTCCCAATCATGTTAAAGACTGTACCTCTCCCAACCAGTTTAAGATAAAAACTAAGCACTACCTAATTAACTCCTTGTAACCTACCTTACCCCTAAAATGTCAACCCATGTCTATTTTTAAACAATGCTGTTTGTCGACCAAATTGTATTTTTGCTATATTTCTGCCATGTTCCCCCCTTTTTTATTTTTATATTTCTCAACACAATTTATACTTTAATCTCAATTAGTATTAAGTTTGTCTTTAGTGTTTTTCCTGCCCGAAACGCTTTGTGTAATAGTGGTTTTAGGCATTGTATGTACTAGCTCTATCTATAAATCCATCAATGTTTGTATCACACCTTGTATGTATGTACTTTACCTGAATAAACATTTGAATTTTGAATTTTTTTGTTTACATAAATTGAACTGAACAGCAGTTGGCCCTCAGGTAAATTCAGGTAAATATTAAATTCAGAAGTTGTTGTTTCAACTGCTGTCAATCAAGAGCTAGAAACTTCCGTTTAGGAAAAATTTACAGAGGACATATTCCCTGACACTCAACATCCTCACAGTGATCATGATATTGTTATAAAAATTAATATTGACACCACTTTCATCAGCAACAAACTGTTGCTGATGTTTTACAGGTTATTTCAAGTAACGCCTCTGCTGCAGTATTTGATATTGGTGAAAATGATTGTAATACTGTACAAGTTATGGAAAGAGCTTTTGACATATTGGAAACAGCAGCATTAAGTACCTAGCAAAATTCTAAATAAGGTAGAACTTACTTATACAAAACGTTCTAAAAGGGGACTGTTTTCTATACAGCATGCTCTATTTTTATAACTGGCCCCCCACATCGGTACCATTCATTGAAGGTCCTTCGGATTGAAGCAATATCGTCAGGCATGCATAATGTTATAACAAATCATCTGTCCATTTAGTACCTACTGTATTATCAGTTTCTGTATCATTTAAGTGTATCGGTGATGTAAAAAAATCTGTCAATTAAACACACACACTTTCTAAGGCTCTAACACCTATTTTAAAGACAATATGTCTTTGGCAAGCAAGATCTAGACTGGAAAACAGGTAATCATAGTCATTTCATTACACTAATGTACAGTATTGAAATTCAGATCTGAGCATGGTACTGTTCTGTAACTACACTTGTGTAATTGCACACACCCACCCACCCTGAAAACACAAGATAGAATACAAAACAATGGATACAAATTGAAAGATTCAGGAAGATTAATTTCAAGATTATTAGAAAGTTAGATTCAGAAAGACATGCGTAAATACTGGTTTGGTAACAGAGTTATTGATATTTGGAACTAATTAATGAGCAACATAATAGATGTGGGATTGCTGGATTGTTTCAAGTGTAGGTTAGACATATAAGAGTGAGGAGTAAGTTTGGTTGGGTATAATTAGGAGCTGCTTTACATGAGTCAATAGGCCTTCTGCAGTTTCCTCTAATCTTTTTTTTTTTTTTATAATAAAGCAGAGTTAAGAGTTAAGAGTTAATTTCAGAGTTAAGAAAATGCTGAAGTCATATTTCAATTCTGAGTTATATTTCAGGTTATGTAGCAAACTGAAATAAATATAAAGGCTAAAAAGGTGTATATGTGGAGGTTGGCCAGATCCAGCTTAACCATTTGATTATGCCTTCCTACAGACATGGGGTTCCAGTTGGGTCGAGCAAGGGAGTTTGTGAGGAGGAACATAGTATTATTTGTTATGATTCCAACACTCATTGGCTTGCACTATGGCTGGCAAAAGGTTCAAGAAATTGAAATATATGTCCCAAAGCATGAGCGCAAGGATCTTCCAGTTGTACAGGTGAGATGTTTGATGTTTAGGGAGGCTCACTTGGGTTACAGGTGAGGCTAACTAAGCTAAACTTGAGGCTCAGTCTAGCTACAGGTGAGGCCCAGTCTGGCTACAGGTGAGGCCCAGTCTGGCTACAGGTGAGGCCCAGTCTTGCTACAGGTGAGGCCCGGTCTGGCTACAGGTGAGGCCCGGTCTGGCTACAGGTGAGGCCCAGTCTGGCTACAGGTGAGGCCCGGTCTGGCAACAGGTGAGGCCCAGTCTGGCTACAGGCAAGGCCCAGTCTGGCTACAGGTGAGGCCCAGTCTGGCTACAGGTGAGGCCCAGTCTGGCTACAGGTGAGGCCCAGTCTGGCTACAGGTGAGGCCCGGTCTGGCTACAGGTGAGGCCCGGTCTGGCTACAGGTGAGGCCCGGTCTGGCTACAGGTGAGGCCCGGTCTGGCTACAGGTGAGGCCCGGTCTGGCTACAGGTGAGGCCCGGTCTGGCTACAGGTGAGGCCCGGTCTGGCTACAGGTGAGGCCCGGTCTGGCTACAGGTGAGGCCCGGTCTGGCTACAGGTAAGGCCCGGTCTGGCTACAGGTGAGGCCCAGTCTGGCTACAGGTGAGGCCCAGTCTGGCTACAGGTGAGGCCCAGTCTGGCTACAGGTGAGGCCCAGTCTGGCTACAGGTGAGGCCCAGTCTGGCAACAGGTGAGGCCCAGCTGAGACTGACTTGAGGCTATAGGCAAGGCTAACTAGGGCTAAACACAGTTAAAAAGAAAATAAGCTCAATGCTCAAAAGTGAATAATATTTTGTAATGCAGTTAAATTTGACAAATTTATCTTTAACAAGCAAAACCTGAAACCTTACTTCTTTTCATGTTTATAAGCTGATTGTATTTTTTTTACTGTAATTTTTGAATTTTTTCATATTACTGTGTACCTCTAGCACAGTGCTCTAATATAATTGCTCAGTCCTCTTTACCCATTGTCAGAAATTACTCAATGTTAGTCATATTTGTTCTCAAATAAATAAGTAACCCAACTTGTACATGTAAAATTATAATACAAGTGATTTATAATTTGATAAGGGTTGGGGGAGGGCCCAAAACATTGTCAATGCAATTTCTTGTGAGTGAGTTGGGTTGTGTGTTTCAGCCTCATTGCTGTGTGACTTATTCTCTGCGTTTTAAGTATGGAGCATACGTCCTTTTATTAAATGTTACACCACCAGTTTCTTGTATTATATCTTGTTTAAGTGGTTTTTTATGAAAAAAGTATTTCTTCCATTGACAGGGTGCAAAGTATATTCAAGAAGAGCTGAGGAATAAACTAGGACTTAAAAAAGAATAATACGCATTCTTCATTTTGTATATACTGTACAGTTCTTTTAAGGTAAGTTCATTGGATTTCAGTATTGATATGATATTTCTTGCACACAGTACTCACAAACCACTACAGTTTGATATAATGCTTGATATTTATCATATAATGAATTATATCCTTATAATTTCTTTTTAGAGGCTTTTTACACTGTTTTCATGTGGAATTCAATCTACATTATGTAGTAAACTGAATAATAAATTAGTGTTTCAAGTGAATTTATATTTGAATAAGTCATACTGTACTTTAAGTAAATATATTTTTTGCTACAATAGGTGCTACATAGCCTTCCCGGCTTGGTGCCTTCTTTGATAATTACTTACGTACTTAATACAACAGGTCTTTTACAGTACTGCATAATTGTACACATGATCTTCACACTCAGAATTGAATATTTATACAGTATTCACAAATTTAATGTAAAAAAAATCTGAGGGATGCCACCCTGAGTGCATGTCTACAAAATACTTTCAAGTATTGGAAAATTGGCATGATGATCATTTTTGTTTAAAATAAGTTAGTTCAAACCTATGTACAGTACAGTACAATATATATCACCCTATCCTCCTGTTTTGTGAGTACAGGTACTTACAGTAACGATGAGGACCATAGTATATATACCGACGTACAATAAAAATAGAATGTAGAAATCTGAACTATTGAGTTGGACAAATTGGAAAACTGTTTTTTACCCGTGTTGCTTTGACAAACTAAACTAACCTATCCTAACCTTCCTAGGCCTAATACACGATATCTGCGGCCTAATATAGTATGTGTGTGTTATATTAGGCCTTGGAATATTTAAGTTCGTGTTTTAGCTTCATATACTGTATTTTAAAAGAAATTCTTACTAGTTAGTATACATACTACTATCTAAAAGCTAAGAATGTACGAATTCTGACTATTGATGATCATCACAATAGGTACTATATAAATAGGAGGATGGGTTGAGGATTTTAATTTTAGATTCTTTATTAAATTATAAATTATACTGTATGAGATTTCTTATTGCAGTATGTCAGGTGCACGATTAGAGGAAGAGCGTGTGAAGGGCTTGTTTTGCCATAGTGTGCTGGACCCATCTTACATCTCGATGTTAACACAGTACCGGAAACTACTATTCTCGGTATATGGACCAAAAGGAAGCTCAATTTTGATATCAAATTCTGTCGGAAGGGAGAGTTTGGCTGCATCATCATCTGCAATCATTAAGGAGTTATCATTTGCCCATCCAAGTGTGAAATATATTAATGCTCTGATAAGTGCTCAGAATTCATCTTGTGGTCTTAATGGCCTCTACACTGGGATGCTCTGTGTAAGATTGTTAGAAGAATCCCACGAGTGTGAGAGGGACATACCTCACCCTCTCATTAGCAGTGTGTCGGAATGGATTATATCTGAACTACTGGAACTCCTAGCGCATTCGCCTGACGAGGTCATCATGGACTTGGATATCGGGGACATGAAACAAGTCACATCATTTGTTAAAACTATACTTGGGACAAAGAATTGTTTAAATCTTAGTAGCATGGAAGTTGATGACCTTACTCTCAGTATTGTTAAAGCATTTCTCAAGAGCATCCCCAATGAATACTCTTCTGGTGGTTTTGGTCATGTTGCTGTTACCACCCAAGAGGAATCTTCATCTACAAATACCAAGGTCTTTGATGGTGTCCTGTACAGGGAACCAGACATTAGTCCACAACGAATTGAGAAGTTTAAAGGGTTAGGCAGTATCAATATTGTGCTTTTCACTGTCCCCTTGTTATATATTGAGAGGGAGACAGAATCTGTATGTTGGAGAGCAGGTGGAACAAAAGAGGAGATCTTTATCAATAAAGTTGTTCCATGTCTTCTTTCATGTATGAAGAGGAGGAATATCCACATTCTTGCCAACCAAAAGCAAGTGCATCCAATTATCAAGTTCGAACTTGAGCGAGAAGGGTTTTTGGTGCTAGAAAGAATGGGTACAAACTTATCTGAGGCAATGACCAAACTGAGTGGTTGCCATGCCATCAGCAATTTAGGTAATCTAGCCCTGGAAATGAATACTGTTCTTCTTGGGAGGCTAAACACTGTAGAGCACATTGTATATAATGGAAAAAGTTACATTCTGCTTGACCATGATGAGGGCTCTGTATCAACACTCCTGCTTCCTGTAGCAAACCCAATTGTTCTCTCAACTCTTAAGGTGAGTTATACTCTGCACTATAATGTAGCATATCTTTTTTTTATAACATTTATTTTTTTTATTTATTCTGGTCATGATAAGAAATTTCCAATGCATTATATGTAATGTGTGATAATGGCACCCCTTACCAATTTTTTAAAAGTGTTGCCAACAGTTTTGTTTCCTTTTTCCTACTTAAATGATCTGTGTCATCAGAAATACCATGGCATGTGTCAAAACACCTCGGATAAATTAATCAAAGCATACAGCATTGAGCCAACCGAAGGCAAACGCCTTTTTCATTTTCACTGCATTCTCTGCAGTAAGTCTAGCAAGGGCCTAAATGACCCAGGCACCACCATAAATGATACAGATGAGAGTAATAAGGAGATCAGAGGAAAAAACACTTGACATGATTAGAGAACTTCAAGAGGGTCAGAAAGTTTTGATGAAACAGTTTATAAGACTTTCAACAATCATTAACTAAAATGTGTAGGCATGATTACAGTGGTAAACCAGGTGAACCCAGAATGAAATCCTTCACTAGGAAAACAATCTGAATGAAGGCAGAGTTGAAGATCTGGCGGGGGAGCAGAAGCATTGGGTAGAAAAAACAAAGACAACCTCCTCATTAGGAACCTTGCAAAAGTACAGGGTAAAAATAACCAGGAAATCGTTAAGGAAATGATAGTGAAATTAATAGGTAGGGAGGAAGATCTTAGTCTATCCAATGTGGAAAGGTTAGGTAAGCCTGAAGCAAGGATAGTACGCATAACCGTTGTAAACTTTGAACACAGAAGGAAGATACTAACCAGTGTACATAACCTAAAAGATCTTGAAGGGTATAACCATGTCTATATCTCTCCAGACCACACAGTTGAACAGCAAAAAAATGATAGATTACTAAGAGGAAAGTTAAAGAACCTAGATGCAAACAATGATTCACATCTAGTGAAGGAGAGGGCAGGTGATCAAGATAGATGAGGAGGAGAGGACATAGTCCTCCACCCAGCCAGGCAGAACTAACCCTATATATCTTTGAAGATGAACAGGCACAAAACCAGAGTGACAATGAACAGCTTAATAATGTACAGAATCTAGGAACTATCTCTCAGCCCAACAGGAATAATGAAAGAAATTTAAAGTGCTACACTAATGCCAGAAGCCTGGTGAATAAATTTGATGCATTGTGTGCATATGCTGAGGCCGAGACTCCAGACATTTTATTTATTTTATTTATATATACAGTATATATACAAGAGGTCTTACATTCTTGTACAGCCACTAGCACATGTAGCATTTCGGGCAGGTCCTTAATCCTATGTTTCCCGGAATACGACTCCACCAAATCGTTTAACAACCAGGTACCCATTTTACTATTGGGTAAACAGAGGCTACAGATAAGGATTGACGCCCAGTAAATCCTCCCCGACCAGGATACCAACCCAGGACAAAGTGCTCGCGAAATGCCAGGCAAATGTCTTAACCACTACACCACAAGGACTGCATCATTGGCATAAGTGAAGCATAGGGATGAGAAGACATTATTGAAGGGGAATTCCTCCTCCCAGGGTATCGTCCTCTGTTCTGAAAGGACAGAACAACAAGAGCAGGTGGTGTACTGCTTTATGTGGAGGAGGACCTGAAAGCAACCACCAATGAAATAACTGAACACCATGGGTTCCTCAAGAGTCTGTATGGTACAAGATGGTAACATATTGAGTGGGAATATGCTACAGGGCTGACAAAGCAACAGCAGAGGAAGTTACTGATCTGCATAATGTGATCAATGCTGCGCCACAAACCCAAACTCTTATAATGGGCAATTTTAACCACAAGACAATAGATTGGGTAAATCTAACATTGCCAGCAGAAGGGGATCAATTTCTTGACCTGGTGCAGGACTCATTTCTCAAGCAACGTGTGGTAGAGCCTTCTCGAGGTAACAGCATTCTGGACCTAGTGCTAACATCAGAAGAAGAAATGGTAGATCAAATTCAAGTAGGGGAAAAGCTCACCACATCAGTTGATCACAATATTCTAAGATGGAATACAATTACAGAAACTCTCGTGAAGGTCCAGGATGATGACCACCTAGATTACCATCGAGGAAACTATCAGAGAATGAATGAGAGTGATTGCAAAATGCCTCATGGAGGGAGCTGATAGGTGATCATGGCATGGAAACATCATGGGAAAATTTAAAAAAATAGTCAGTACTAAACTCGTTCAAAGATATGTGCCAAAAAAGAGAAAGAAATGAAAGGGAACAAGATAGATGACACAAGTAGTAAAAAGAGCGTTAATAACTAAACAGAACCTCCGGAGATGGTATAAATCTACAATGAACATCGTGGATTGTGAGATACTGTATATAAAAGGGCATTAAAAAAAACACATTTGTCATATTTTGTTATATTGTATATTTTTTTCAGGAGACAACAGAGAGTTGTCTAGCAGCCTTAAGGTTGGTGGTGGTGGATGGGAAGGTGGTGGCTGGTGGAGGGTGTCTGGAGGCATGGGCTGCAAGCAAAGTCAAATACCTCGTTAATACCAACATGCAACACCTTGTTGATCTCACTGATGCTTCACCTCACCATATTTTCAAGGTAAATTTTTATGTACACTGTTGAGCTGTATTGTTAGTGTGTGTGTGTTGGCTCCTGTCTCACAAGCTCTAAGTATGGATTAGGGGTTAATAAGCCAAGCTGGCTTTAAAAATGAATTCATCAAATGTTGCAAGTACCTTTGCTATGTTTGACATATGTATCAAATATGTGGTGTTGTCACCAGTTGAAATGATTGTGATCATAAAATAATGAATTTATATACAGTATATTGTTTTGCTGGTGTCAGATTGCAAGTAACTTCATCCGTGTATTCATGGAAATGGCTCTTCGGCCCAGAGGTGGACCCTCAACAACAAGGTTTGATTGGTCTGTAGACTCTGTCTTCCACCATTTGTGGCACACCCAGCCAAGAGTTTCAAGAGAAGATGAAGGTGGAAGCTGCAGTACACAAACATCAAATGTCACATGTGTGTGTGGTTTAGTAAGAGAAGTGGTTATAAAGAATAAATACAATGGACTGTGGTACCCTGTTGAATTCGAGTTACATCATGACTTTACAGAGCAAAGGTCACATTGTAGTGAAAATGATGGATACATGAAAGCAACTGTGTCTCCAAGAAGTACAAATGGTTGCAGCATGAAATCAGATGAGAGTACAAAGAGCAGTGATTCATCATTGAGTGACTTTGGCTTCCATAACCTTGACTTGGAAGCTGATAGCCTAGATGAGGCAGGAGGCACTACAGAAGAAGAAGTGGATAGTCTTGAGAAAATCATAGATACTCAAGAAGAAGAAATTGACAGTTTAGAAGGAAAAATTAACAGCTTTGAGGTTGAGGAAGATATGGACAGTTTGGAAGACGTGTTGGATGGAATTACCGAGTCAAGTCATCTAAAAGACAACAAGCATTCAAAAATTAAACTTGAGACACAGGTACAGGGAGCATTGTATGACAGTTTCCCTGCAAAGTACAATGCTATTCGACTTGCCCTTGAAGGCTTTACCCAGTTGTTTCATGTTGGTCAGTGTGTATTTGATAAGTGACAAGCTTATTTTAATTTAGTGATGTACAGTGAATAAAGGTAGCTTTAATACATGCTTTTGAAGATCCCTGTTGCAAGTACAGTACAGTAATATTCTTGAGAAAAGGGAGCTAGTGAATTATTGTTTTAGATGTAGAATGGTATAATAAAGTATAATGAATAAAAAACTGCACATTACTGTCGGCAAAAATGTGCAGTTTTCCCAGGTGACTGCTCACATTTATATGCGCTCGTAGCCAATGTCTTGCTGTGCTGAGGGAGACTGATAATCCCAAATGCAGTTAAAATTGGATTGTGAAGCTTCTCTTTTGGACAAGTGAGGAGTGAGACAAAAACTTGGCCTTGTAGCTCCTTCCTAACCAGTGTGTTTGCTTGGCTTTCATGCTTTGGCACAAGTGGCACAAGTTTCATGAAGGGCACAAGTGTGTCAAAAGAGTGTCGACATAAAAAGTAGCTGGAGAAGAGCAGAGAAGAGGTGGCACATAAAAATTTGGTCAGGAAAACAACGGAGTAGCCAACACCGTAGGCATACTTGTACAACCATCTATGAACAGTGCAATGGAGTGTGAGCAATAGGAAAAGTGTTCAAGGAAAAGGCATTTCATAACAGTACAAAGAGTACAAGCTTTCACTGTGCAGGTTAGGACTTTGCAAAATTTCACAAGTTGGACCCTCCATGGGGGCAAGGTAGGAACAACATAAGGTAAAAGATTGCAGATGTGTATCGAGGGAGAATCTTGCAAATGAACCATTCGTATAGTAAAAGGAAGTACAGTATGTGGGATAAGTGCAATGCATGTTATTGCATAAATGTGTTGTAGGGAATTCACAAAATATCAAAGGCAGTAATGATCACGATGATCCTGGAAGAAACTGGCACAGTTGGAACATCAGTTTCAGTATACAGTACAGTACTGTATAAAGGGGATGAATGAAAGTCACCAGAGCCGAGGCATAACCCTGTATGATACAAGGTATCGCAGTGACAAGTATTAAGGGAGCAGCCATAGTCTAGTCAAGACAGTATAAGAGGAGCACAAATGTAAGTGTGCATCTACAGGTCTCCATGAGGTATGAGACAAGACTTTAAGGTAGGAGGCCTTTCACCATTCAGTTCATAGGTGGGACATATGGGGCAACCATTATAATCAGTGTCGAAGATCAACCCCCAGAGTTTAGCAGTACAGTACTGTATTCTTACCTAGAAGGGAATTTCCAAAGAGAAAAGGAAGATGAGGAATGATATGCTTCTGAGTAAGTCATAGCCAGGGGGAACTCCACCATCGATGGTAAGTTGGACTCTGCAAGATAGTTTACATAAAAGGCAGAGAATACTCCAGTGGGAGGGAAGGATGGAAGACCATTAAGGGCAACCAGAAAAAAGAGCAGCGCTTTATCATCAGGATGGGGAATGCCGTATTGTTGAAATATGTTTGAACGTTTAACAAGAGATTGAAGCCTTGAAGGAAAAGTGGGAGTATGCAACGAATACAAAAGGAACATGGACAAAAATATTTGTTCTCTACTGTTGTAATCCTTTTCTAGGTAAAAAAAAAAATGGCTACAATGAAGGTATTCATAGCAAAGACTTCCTAGGTACAAAAGGATGTTAGTCATGCTGTGACACTTTCAAAAGACAGTCCCCTCGGTGGACGGCACCTTGATGCGGTGATGGGAAGGGGGGGCTCTTGTGCACCGCCTGTGGGTAGGAGAGATTTACTCATGGTCTTCTCTCCTGTCTACAGTGATGGTGCACAAGCGAATCCCATTCCCACGTGTTAGGCAAAGATGCCCTTAAGTCCCTTTATCTGGAAGTTGAGCCTACCCAGCAGCAGTTGCCCCTGTAAAGGGAAGGGGTCAACATGCTGCTTTGGTGGGTGGGGTGGGGGTAAAAATGAGGTTCAGTACAACCTACCTGAATCAATTGGTTCGTCTTGTTAGCCCTGCCTAGTTAGACATCAAGTCAAGTAGGCATTGTGGGATTGATATCCCTATCGATCCCTCAATAGTTACATCCCAAAGGTCCCAGTAGTAGTCGGGTTTGTTCTTGAAGCACAGTCGAGAAGTCCGGGTTCGAATCCCGGGCCAGGCAGAAATGGTTGGACACCTTTCCTTTTGCCTAATGCACTGTTTACCTAGCAGTAAGTAGGTACTCAGGAGTTAGTCAGCTTGTTGTGCAGTTGCATCCTGGGTGGGGTCAGTAATTTGACCTTGTTAGGGGGGACCTTGATAAAAGCCTAACATGTATGAATACACTGTAGCTTCCTGTCCCCCGTCAATGAATTACTGTATTATTATTATTGCCCGAAAACTCTATGCCTGTTAGTGGCCTCGTTTGAATGTAAAAATACCAGTCGTGTGTAATCTCACCAACCCATTGTACCTTCTTGCAAATAAAAATTATTATTATTATATTATTGTGGACTCTGTGGTGGGTGGGAGTGCTGGGCAGTCCACCAGCTCCCCATCTTCCTTTGCTGCATATCGTTCACCAAAGTGGGTTGTGCCTCATCTCTTGTGCCTTTCGTTCATTACCTGTATGCTAAAACTGGAGTTGTCTCAACAGAATCATTGAGATTGTTACTGCCTTCGCTACCTTGTGCAGTTCCTGCAACACCCTCACTCTTGCTTATGCCATACTTTAACCATTACCCCTCATGTGGGTCTTGTTCCCTCTCATACCCTTTCTTTTTTTTGTATGAATGTCTCGCTTGCACAATTTTCTCTCATTCATGTTAGCAATTTCTCCTTGTTGTTCCATCCTTGACCTTGTGGAGGGTCTCAAGTTTTGCAAGACCTTTTCCCACATAGTAAAGGCTACTACCCCCCCTACAGTTATGAAACTTTTTCCTTTAATAATTTTCTTTGCACTCCATTGCTCTCTTCACTGATGGGTCCCGTTGTATTTCCTAACCAAACCTGTATGTGCTGCCTGCCTCTGGAGACTAGCATTTTCATGGCAGAACTTTGTGCAATCTTGTATGCACTTTGTCAACTGCTTTCCCTGACATCAACGTTCATTTATTACTTAATCTTATCTCACTAATGTTCCTCAATTGATTGATACCTCCTGCCTTGTGTACTTTTGTTCTTGTATTGGCATCTTCAGTGATATTTACCACCATTTGAATATCCAGCAACACAGATGGTGCTACATATTCTCCCTAGCTTCATGCTTTCTTTTGATAATTACTTGCAAATTCCAAATTGAGGGGATGGGGGAGGCATTTATAACCCAAAACCACATAAGTCATACATTCAAAGTTTGCAGATGCAAATGTGCTAGGGAAAGTCCAAGCACATAGGCAACCTCAACAATACCTTACTTTGCAATGATTTTGTGGCTCAACGACCCTGTGGCCCGGTTACTGGACCGGTCAACCAGGCTGATGGATGGGGCTGCTTACAGCCTTGTTGATCAGGTATCCTTTGGAGGCATTTATAAAGTTCTTTCTTTCTTGAAATCTGAGGGGTTGGCCAGTTATACCCCTTGTGTGTGTAAGTAATTAATTATCAAAAGAAGGCACCAAACCGGGAAGGCTATGTACCCTTGTGTGTGTAGTGGAAGCATGTTTAACAGTCTTGGGCCTCTGATGTTGACACCTCTGCTTTTCAACTGGGGTATTCTGCACATCCTGCCATGCCTTCTGGTCTCATGTGGTGTTATTTGTGTGTGCAGGTTTGGGATCAGCCTCTACTATTTTCCACACACAAACTATTATGCATATCTCCCACCTGCACTCAAGAACACAGATTTAGCCATTTTAGTTGGTCCCAATAGTTTAGATGTTTAACCAAGTGACTTCTAGCAGTAAAGGATCTCTTCATGCTCTCCAGGTCAGCAATTTCTCCAGCTTTGAAAGGGGCTGTCATTGTGCAACAGTATTCCACTCGAGAGCATTAGCGTCTTGAAAAGTATCATTGGTATACCATCTCTTAGGTTGGATAACAAGAGCCTTTCAAACTGTCATTTTTCTTGCAGTTGTGAAGGCACTTTATAGTGTGCTTTAAAAGGTAAGGTCTTCCAACGTGAGTACACCCAAATCCTTTACATTATTTTTTTTCTATGGTATAATTTGAATGTTTTGTACGTGGTTTGTTTTTATATTTTCCATAGCTTAGGAGCTGGAACTTCATTAAATACCATATTATTTTCTGTAGCCCACTGAAAGACTTGATTTATGTCTGATTGGAGGATCAGTAGGAAGAGTATATGTAGTGGTTGCACTGCAGTGTGAATGGCTGCCCAGGGATTGTAACCCATCCTTGGACAAGTCCATTCCATCTAGCTGTCGACCCCAAAGACATTCATAAATTCATATTTAGACATTGGTGTTGGTGATTATGTTTATTTGTAGAACATGGGCGAGGTTCACAACATTGTGATTCAAAAGAAAAATAGTCAACAAAGCACTTGTTCTGGAAGTGTTCAGACTTCAGTATTTGAGTAAACCATTTTTTAATTCGAAACATTGGTGGCACACGAGTACCCCTTTCCCATTCCTTCACGTCAAGGCCACGGCCAATTAAGGGGTATTGTGATTTATAAAATAATGGAAAGCGTGAATACGTTATTTTATTACTCTATATAACAATTATGTATTCATAGGAAGTACATTATATTTGGTCTACCATAATTAAAGGGTTGAAAATCAATGAAATTATGCAAGCATTTTTTTTATTTTAAAACCTCATAGATGTATAAAAATTTCTTTAAACTTTAACTATTTGAGCATTCACCGAGCCAACCATTGTACTTTCATTTTTTGCGGGAGGATGGAGTTCCAGCTGTGCGTATGTGCCCCCAACAAGACCCTTGGCTAGACGTTCTGGATTGAGAACTACACAGTTCTCCAAGTCCTGCAGCAAACAATGTTAAATTAATAAAAATATATTATCCAAATTCATTATCTGTTATACAGCTAAATATTGTACAGCATTTCCATGGAGGTTTATATCAATACACAATTTCTATACAAATAGTCTAAACATAATTAAATAAAGGCTTCAAGATATTTATTGCACCTGGAAATTATTATATGGGGATAAGTTATGAAAATTTACTCGGCCTTCTATAAAAATTAATACCATCTTTTATCACATGATTGCACTCTTATCTTGGGGGGGGGGGGCTATCACCACTCAGAAATTATAGTTTTCTATAATTATAATTTTCCACACAGAAGAAACTGTGGCATTAACCTCAGTGAAAGTTGAACTTACCCTGACGAAGTATCGAAGATCTGATGGCAGAACAAGCAGGTGGGGGTTAAATGGTAGCCGTGCATGGGTTTCTGCTTGCTCTTGATCAATACAGATGCCCTCTGGCCCTGGGTAAAGTGGATACAAACTCTGCTGCATTAAGATGTGTCGAGTAAGTCTACCCAATCTATCCGAACCTTGAGGTGGGCTGTAAAATAAAGTGTTAAGAACTACCATTAATAACCCATAACATTTATGTATATTTAGATAAATTCCAAGTTAATAGGTACAAATTCCAATGCAAAATACAAGTTCACAGTTCATGGGTCCAATGATAAAATTATTACTCCATCACACACATGATATATCATATATCTATACATCTTAACTAATTTAAGTCCTATGACTGATTATACTTTTATTACATTACTGTAAGTATCTGTACAGCACAAACAATTCTGACATATTGCCAGTACTGAGGTCCAGAATGCAAAGAGTTACTGACAATCGTCAATATTCTATAATCCTAATTTCATGCCAGAAGCACAAGGCAAACTTATACTATACATAAATTTACTCTTAACTATACTGTAAAGAGGATATCCATCCATACAATTCATGGTTGGAAATATAAATAAAAACTGCATGCTTTACCATGCCTCTGAAACTCGTCTAGTAAATACAGTGAATGTGCTTGAACTATATTTGACAAGGCCAAAGGGGGAAGGGGGAAGGGGAAGACTTACAAAGATATCTCTTCCTTTCCAAGGTGGAAAAGTATGTCTGTAGCAGTAAGAGCTACAACCACACCTTCAATATCCAAAAGAGCAGGATCACTCACACACGTAAGGTTTCCACCCAAATCATATGGCGGGGTTGGATACACCATAGGCGCGCACACATCACGGCTTGATGGCACCAGAATAACTTGCGTCACCAAGCTGTAGAGAAAGACGGCTGTTAGATGCAGCTCAACTAGACAAAATTACCTAATCCAGGTAATTGCAGACAGCACAGTAGAGTACAGTATTCCTAATCTCTTGCTACAGTATATGTATCCCATCTTCAGGGACTCGGGGAGCCATCAAAATGGGGAAATTTTGTATTAACAGCTACAATAATTTTCAATATTATTCTGCTACATTTCTCCCAGCTGCCTTTCCACACCATTTAAGTGGTAAAGAGTATGTTATTAACATTGGTAATCAAAACGTTTTATTCAAGAATCTAATGTATTTATTATCAAGTCTAGCAATCGACTAGGAAAAAAATTGAAGTACAAGCAAAAGTTTCCAGCAATGCAGTGCTCCATTTAGAGAAGCATGTCCACAATACTAATTATGGTACCTCTTAATATTTTCCTGGTGTAAATTATTATGTACCTCTTACCTGCACTCTAAAGGATACAGATTTAAAAATTTTAATTGGTCCTAATAATTTAGATGTTTTATAGAGCAGAATCTTGCAGTATAGTATCTTTGCATGCTCTTCAGGTCAGCCATTTCACCAGCTTTGAACAGGGCTGTTATTGTGCAACAATATTCCACCCTAGAGTCTTAAAAAGTATCATTAGTATGGCATCCCTAGTTTGAACGGTTCTTGTTATCCAACCTGTCCTGACAGCTACTATATTGTGTTCTTTAAAGGTTCTTCGTTCTTCGAAGATTCAAAAGGTTGTGTTCTTCGTGTCTTCCGAAACGATTACCCCCTAGCTCCTTTACATTGCTTTTTAGTTCTAGTGTGATTTGATTGCATTGTACATACAGGTGTCCATTTTTATTTCTTCCATAGCCCAGGAACTGGAACCTATCTTCATTAAACATATATGGCCTATTGAAAGACCTGAGTAACATGAAATTGGTGGTTTTCTGTGTCCTCTACTCATGAAAATCCTAATGTCATCTGCAAAGGATGATACTGTTGATATGAGAACGAGAAAAAGTACTGAGAGCAAGTATGGTACCTTAGGGGACCAAACTTCACAGTGGATGTTACGGATTTTACTTTATTGACCATTATACTATTGGTCCTGTTCATTAGAGTTAAATATCCATCTCCCTACTTTGCCAGCAATTCCTTTTTTTTTTAAGGCAAGCCCTGTAGCATAGCAATTCAAACATTGTATTCACAGAGGTGAACAAAATGATCGTTTATTGCATCAATTTCTGCACACACTATTTATGGGGGTGAATGTAAATTTACAGATTATGACATTTATTGATCTATTTACATGTTTTGCACTGAATAACCAAAGTAATCCCAGCACCAGCAAAGTGTCTACCCTCCCCACATAAACCAGTATGGGGAGAGTAGGCAGGGAACTTTGATTATTATAATGTAGATATACAATATTAGAATCCCAAGTTTTAAGTAGAAGACTGGAAAATTACACTCACTTTTCTAGTGTAGATGTAATAATTCGTATACATCGATTAAACACTGCTTCATGAGTTTCTCCCAGCTCATTGTTGGCTACCAATGGATGTGCAGCATCAAGAAAAGGGCCCAGAAGTATCAGCAAATGTGGGGGATTCTTGTGGACAGCAGTTAGCAGATCTGTGAGTGGTTCGTAAAGCAAATTCTCTGTCGTTGTGAACGGACCACATGCCACCACCACTTGTACTGGACCTGCAAATGCATTACGAGATTATTTACATTAAAGTTACCATGAAGCCAATTCAGGCATTAAAATCACATCTTAATTTATATTGTATTAAATATCTCTACTGATAGTATAGAAAGGCACCGTTTATCGCACTGTCCCCCATATTAGTCTAATCATTCAGCACTGACAAGCTTCATAAAACAATTGAAAGGCTCTCGTCCAACGTATATTTAACTACAGTAGACATTTCAAACACACGGATGAGAGCAAGACATTTTACCTGGTCAAGCCAAAGTGAATGTAATAGACATAAGATAACCTACTGGTGGTTATATCTGTAGTGTAGCAATGGTAATCTTTCACCCATGTACCTCTATCCATTTTTTCTTGTCAAGAAAAGACCAGCTACTTTGTATATTCACCCCAGTGTCATAAACACTGAGCACATCGCCTCTTAAGTCATTCACCTAGTGCTGTTAATCAAGTTCTCCTCATAGTTCATCTCTGCACTTTGTAAATCAACACCTTGTGCTTGCTAGGTGTGATTTGCCATGCTGGTGCTGCATATTCTAGGAATGGTCTAATGTATGTAGTGATTTTGAAAGATTCATTATTCAAGCTCCTGAATGCTTGCCCATGTTAAATAATTTAACGTATGTTGCTGCCATTTTATTAAGTACTTCTGGCATTAATGTCCATCCCCTGGATTTTCTATCATTATTCATATACTCTAGTTAACTGTATACTCAATACAACAGGTGTAAATTTCAAGTGCCAACTTTCATCTTGCACCCTCATTATCTACTTTACTCTAAGTTAATAGTCTACAGTCTTTTCCCTCGACATGTAATCTAACTTGGGGGGGAGGTCTGTGTTATCAGTTTATATAATCACTACTATTTCATTACTATTAGTGTTTAAAGTTGATATTTAAAAAAATGTAGAAAATTGCCTGTATTAACCATAAGATAGGGTTATACCTATAAGAGATACCCACTACACAGTAAAGGTAACTTCAGATACATCATTTATATACAAATAATGCACTGACAAAAAGACATCAAATTTATCAGACACTACTGTTCATTAGTAACTAAAATGTGCAATATACAGGGCTAAGGGAACCAACCTAACTCTGAATGTGCAGTGAGATATAGGTGAGAAGCTCTTGTTCAATGAGGGGCATGGCATAAGCAAAGGATTAGAGAAAGAAAAATGTTTGGGGTACCTGTGGCACTGGTAATTGTAACAGGAGAGCTACATGGAGGCAGAACTTTTCCAGGCACCAATTCCTTGGCAATCAATCTATTGCCTGTTGTGTTTATTCCTCGGAGGCCCACTATCTATAAAACACAAAAATACTAAAATGGGGTTTTTAGTGCAGTTTGTTTATTTAATAACAAAAATTAAGGAATACAAACATGAGAAAGCCATACCCGTTTGTAAACATACTGTATATCATACCCAAAAATGAGAGAATGTTAAATCCACATTATTTTCTGGATATTTGAAGCAAACTACCTGACAATAAAAACTATGGCTCTAATCAATATAAATTTAATTTATAAATAACAATTTTTATATCATAAGATATAAACACATTAAATAATACAACGTGCAGGCAATATTCACCTGGCCAGGAAAGAGGGAGTATTTGTCAAGCTGTGATAGATCAACAGGGACTGTTTTACCACCGGCAATCTCACGTGAACCCTCCAACAATACTGAAGCAGCATTCAGGCGACCCACGCTGTCACAGCAAATCCGCCCAACTACCGATATACTCTCCTGCAAGTATGGTACAGTATAATTTTAAAAACATACAAAAATGTAAGGAAAAATGTATGCCGTTACAAGTCCTATTAAATAATGCCTTGACTCACTGTTTAAAAGTCTCTCTTCCGTACAGTACTCGTTTTGACTATATATATGATCATATGCTACTCATCATGCTTGTAAATTATACTTTAGGTACTCTTATTAGAAAATTTCTAATGTTCAAAATTAACTAGTTTTATTATACATACATACATACATTACTCATAATTTTAAGATGAGAAAACTCTTCAACTTGAAGAGCATCCTTCATCTGCTCTGCTAGGACATTGATAGAGTCATCCAAAGCCCCAGCTGCATCTCTTATTTTCTCAAACATGTACTTGTATGATTTGGTCAAAGGCTCCTCACCTCCCATAGCCAGCATCTTAACCTGCAAGCAGAAAATGTACAATGAAATAAAAAATTATCACTCTCTCTCTACAGAATTTAAGCTAAATACAAATCTTAAGACATCATTCCAGAAAAAAAGAAATGCAACATAGCATGAAAACATATTACAATAAGCAATTCCTATCGCTACAGGAGTTTGACAACCAAATTAAAACTTCACTGCATAAAAATTTATTTGCCGGTATGTAAGTTTGTGCATTACATTCATGCAACAAAAGTGGTATGGTATTTGACATTAAAAAACCATGACTTGTGACTAAATATTTGCACACATTGAGGATAAAAAAAATTGTATTACAGCCCTTAATTGTTCTGAATTTCATCAAGTTCACTATTTGTTACTAATAAGTGGCAGAGCATTAAGAGATTCAGGTAGGTATTGAATGCAACCCTATTATGTATGTAAATGTTTTCATCTTGTTCAACAAGTGCTATGATCATCATTGGTGAATATGGAGCTCTTATTAGACATGTAAAAAGAAAAAAACAAGAAAAAATTCAATCTAAGTATGAAGGGTGCAGCTTGGTTGTATTTTGCAGCTAAAATATTTCATGCATTTGCTCATTCATTGTATTTATGATATATGCATCGGGAACACGTGGTTTGGCAAATTTCTCACTAGAAATACTGTTTAACATTTTGACTAGCTGGTTATCAGGTCCATGAAAATGAAGAGGAACAGCAAAATGAATAGAAAGCAAATACCAATAACAATTTGATGTCAAATTTTCAAGTGCAAGTGAAACCTCAAATCTGAGTTTTTGGATTTTTTGTTGTTGGGCGAATGCTAACTTAATGTCTCTTAATCACATTTTTAATCATTTTCATTGATGAGTGCTGCATTACAAGAAATAGAAGTCTTGGGAAAGGCATTGAATATACTTAAACCAATATTCTAGAATTCTTTATAATTTTGAGATTCCCTGGTTTTCGTTCACAAACGGGGGATTTTTTCCCTTTCAAAGTGAGATTTCAATGTAGGGCATGGGAAACATGCTAGATGTAGTTAAATCTCTTTACAGACAGGTTCTCTTGGTAGTTGTCCTTCATATGACAAGTTGAAATAAAGTCCACTCAGTGTAATCAGCCTACAGAGCACAGTAAATATTAGGGTATTAATGGTAACTCTTAATATGGCTACAATCACATTTCTGATGATTTTTGTAGATGACTCAATATTATAAGAAATAGTTGGAGAAAGCTATTGAGGATACTTAAAATCAAATTCTATGATTTTCAGAGTTGTCAAGGTTGTCGTTCACTCAGGCATGCCCCTGCTACCTTTTGAAAAATGAGTTTTGAAGCCGGGGACTTGAGAAATGAGCTAGATGCAGAAAAATTAATTTGTTTTTATTTGAGACTGGGGAGGCGAGAAATAAATTTCTTTGCAGACATGTTCATTTTGATAGTTGTCTATTATAGGTTGAAGTGAAATTGTTTTTAAGTGAAATAGCCCATAGGGCACGGGAAATGCATCCTGGTGGCATCTCTGGTTGCATCAGACCACCCAATGCAGCAAAATGGGGTTGGTCCTATATTATTTTGTGTTGAATCGGAGCTGTACTGTATAATGATCACAGAAGTTGTCTTGGCATACTTAACATTTTCTGTTACATATCTGGCAAACATAGAGGATAGCCAATGGCACAAATGTAAGAAGAGTTATACATGTCAGGGATATCAGATACTGTACCTTACATTGACCAGTAACCATCAGTCATGTCATTCATTGCACCATACACATTGTGATAAGATATTGTACAAGATCATTAACAATATCTTCTAGTTAAATATGCATCGAGCATCTAAACTACTGTATGGCGTAGACGCCATCTCCAGAACACAATAGCAACTAGCACATTAATTTATGCAATGCAATTCCCTTACCTTTGGCATGAAGTTTGGGTGAGCTTTCCATGATGCCTCACTACAGTCCCCAAATGATGCAACAACACCACCTGCATTTGTCCTGGCAGAATATTTATATGAAGGAGTTGCTACACTGGGCGAGAGAGTAGCGGGCGAAAACTGGGCCGAGATCGAGCGCGCAGGACCAACATGACGTTTTGTGATACTTTTATCTGGTGTTAACTGCCGCTTGTTAGCCTGCACAAGAGCAAAACATACTGTTATTACATGCACATCAAATAAACATCATCTGGTATACTGTTGATAGTTATCCCACTCTCCACAATGACATCACAGACAGCCACTTCATTTCCCCCCTTCACAGCCCCCAACGCAAGGCAAGGCATCCCTTAAATTCAATGTTACGTTGCTAAAATCATATTTATTAAGATATTAAATGAGAACACTCACATTCTAAGCACACCTTATCAAATCACAAATATAGTGTAATGCCACACCTTCACACCACAATCAAAAGAAGCGCATTTGTTACGATTATCAGATCTACCACCATATTGTAAAAGTACATCACAATCTAATAAAAATGCACAATGCAAAATGCATAGTAATTCATCAGTGGTGAAGCTCAATCTTGAGCTTCACCTAATAAAATTATTACAAATTTTGATGACATCAATGATTATAATTGACTAACCTTACCTAGTGACAGAAGATGACAGTACCAGACATGATGGTGACAGTTAACAAGTGGATGGTTAAGAGCAATACAGTATAAATAATAATAGCAGCAGCAGTAATAGTAGTAATATTAACAGTAGTAGTAGTAGTAGTAGTAATACTAACAGTAGTAGTAGTAGTAGTAGTAGTAGCAGCAGCAATACTAACAGTAGTAGTAGTAGTAGTAATACTAACAGTAGTAGTAGTAGTAGTAGCAATACTAACAGTAGTAGTAGTAGTAGTAGCAATACTAACAGTAGTAGTAGTAGTAGCAATACTAACAGTAGTAGAAGCAATACTAACAATACTAACAGTAGCAATACTAACAGTAGCAGTAGTAGCAATACTAACAATACTAACAGTAGCAGTAGTAGCAATACTAACAGTAGTAGTAGTAGCAATACTAACAGTAGTAGTAGTAGCAATACTAACAGTAGCAGTAGTAGCAATACTAACAGTAGTAGTAGTAGCAATACTAACAGTAGCAGTAGTAGCAATACTAACAGTAGTAGTAGTAGCAATACTAACAGTAGCAGTAGTAGCAATACTAACAGTAGTAGCAATACTAACAGTAGCAGTAGTAGCAATACTAACAGTAGTAGTAGTAGCAATACTAACAGTAGCAGTAGTAGCAATACTAACAGTAGTAGTAGTAGTAGCAGCAATACTAACAGTAGTAGCAATACTAACAGTAGCAATACTAACAGTAGTAGTAGTAGCAATACTAACAGTAGTAGTAGTAGTAGCAATACTAACAGTAGTAGTAGTAGTAGCAATACTAACAGTAGTAGTAGTAGTAGCAATACTAACAGTAGTAGTAGTAGTAGCAATACTAACAGTAGTAGCAGTAGTAGCAATACTAACAATACTAACAGTAGCAGTAGTAGCAATACTAACAGTAGTAGTAGTAGCAATACTAACAGTAGTAGTAGTAGCAATACTAACAGTAGTAGTAGTAGCAATACTAACAGTAGCAGTAGTAGCAATACTAACAGTAGCAGTAGTAGCAATACTAACAATAGTAGCCATACTAAGTAGTAGTAGTAGTAGTAGTAGTAGTAACAATACTAACAGTAGTAGCAATACTAACAGTAGCAGTAGTAGCAATACTAACAGTAGCAGTAGTAGTAGTAGCAATACTAACAGTAGCAGTAGTAGCAATACTAACAGTAGTAGTAGCAATACTAACAGTAGTAGTAGCAATACTAACAGTAGTAGCAGTAGTAGCAATACTAACAAAACTAACAGTAGCAGTAGTAGCAATACTAATAGTAGTAGCAATACTAACAGTAGTAGCCATACTAAGTAGTAGTAGTAGTAGTAGTAGCAATACTAACAGTAGCAGTAGTAGTAGTAGCAATACTAACAGTAGCAGTAGTAGTAGTAGCAATACTAACAGTAGCAGTAGTAGTAGTAGCAATACTAACAGTAGTAGTAGTAGCAATACTAACAGTAGCAGTAGTAGTAGTAGCAATACTAACAGTAGCAGTAGTAGCAATACTAACAGTAGTAGTAGTAGCAACAGTAGTAGTAGCAATACTAACAGTAGCAGTAGTAGCAATACTAACAGTAGTAGTAGTAGCAATACTAACAGTAGCAGTAGTAGCAATACTAACGGTAGTAGTAGCAATACTAACAGTAGCAGTAGTAGCAATACTAACAGTAGCAGTAGTAGCAATACTAACAGTAGCAGTAGCAATACCAACAGTAGTAGTAGCAATACCAACAGTAGTAGTAGCAATACTAATAGTAGTAGTAGCAATACTAATAGTAGTAGTAGCAATACTAACAGTAGCAGTAGTAGTAGCAATATTAACAGTAGCAGTAGTAGTAGCAATACTAACAGTAGTAGTAGCAATACTAACAGTAGTAGTAGCAATACTAACAGTAGCAGCAGCAGCAATACTAACAGTAGTAGTAGAAGCAATACTAACAATACTAACAGTAGCAGTAGTAGCAATACTAACAGTAGCAGTAGTAGCAATACTAACAGTAGTAGTAGTAGCAATACTAACAATACTAACAGTAGCAGTAGTAGCAATACTAACAGTAGTAGTAGTAGCAATACTAACAATACTAACAGTAGCAGTAGTAGCAATACTAACAGTAGTAGTAGAAGCAATACTAACAGTAGTAGTAGTAGCAATACTAACAGTAGTAGTAGTAGCAATACTAACAGTAGTAGTAGTAGCAATACTAACAGTAGCAGTAGTAGCAATACTAACAGTAGTAGTAGTAGCAATACTAACAGTAGTAGTAGAAGCAATACTAACAGTAGCAGTAGTAGCAATACTAACAGTAGCAGTAGCAGCAATACTAACAGTAGCAGCAATACTAACAGTATCAGTAGCAGCAATACTAACAGTATCAGTAGTAGCAATACTAACAGTATCAGTAGTAGCAATACTAACAGTAGTAGTAGTAGCAATACTAACAGTAGTAGTAGTAGCAATACTAACAGTAGTAGTAGTAGCAATACTAACAGTAGTAGTAGTAGTAGCAATACCAACAGTAGTAGTAGTAGCAATACTAACAGTAGCAGCAGCAGCAATACTACATGCTTAACCTGCCACAAGCAGGTAAGCCTTGTTGAAGTACAATCCCATGGGTAATCTTGGGGTGTACCAAAGATTTTCAAAATTTAACTATATGATGTCCACCACTATATATATTTACGATACATACATCGCAGGATAATAACCTCACCTCCCACATCTCACGACAGATATCTATCTTGGCTCTTTTAAACCAATCAGAGGTCTAGTCCCATTTCAATTCACCACCATTTTGTCTAACAAGTTAACAGCCACATATGAGTGACAACCCATCGTCCTGTTTAGATAGAATTGGGTATTATTCACTTTATGAAGTCCAAAAAGAGCTATAAAATAAATATTGCTAGTATAGTGCACGCGCACATACTAATTTATTATATTAGGCCTCAAAGCGTTTATTAGGCCTAATTTATGTAGCCAGGAAGGCTACATAAAATAAAAAGAAGCACAAGGCTACACTAGTTTGCCTTTGCAACAAATAAAAAATATTTTCAGGTTTGTTCAAATTCAATTGTACCGATTCCAACCTTCTAATTGCGTTGTACGTCGGTATATATACTATGGTCCTCATCGTTACTAAGTACTACCAAAACCTTGCCAACCGACCTTGCACGGGCCCCAGTTCAATGACTTCTTGTTCCATGCACATACGCCCTTTAACCTTCCTTCCCTTTGTTTAGACTTTATAATGGGCTTAGATCACATTAACCACACCATGTGGCAAAAAACTCTTCATCTTTAAACGAAGATGCTGTGTTTTATCACGTTAAGTAGCCCAAATCTGCCAAAGACGATCTCTAGCAAACGTCAATAACACACTAAATGTATTCACCTAGTTATGCTTGCGGGGGTTGAGCTCTGCTCTTTCCGCCCGCCTTTCAACTGTCAATCAATGTAATTACCTGACCAGGCTGTGGAATGAATACTTCCACTAACCTAGAATTAAATTTAGTTAACTTAAAATTGGCTGTATACGGCAATAGTACCTGATTAATATCACATGCTATCAGTCGTGACCAGGCTGTATGCCTACTGTTGCTTCCGGCGTTGTCTGTGTGTACGCCTGCTGCTGACCCCGCTGTTGCCTGCTGCTACTGTTGCTAGATGAGTATGGATCTAGTCATGGCGGAATCAACATGCACCAGAACCCTACCCACCCAGCACCAGTGACACATCTAGCTCTCTCTCCCCAGGGAGAGAAGATGACCATCCAACATGGAACAATGTAAACACCAACGAACCAATTTTAACATTCAGAACAAATCCCCAATTGACATTCCTAGATGAGTTGGGTGGGCGAGCCAGGCAAGGTTATTTTCCCGCCGGCTGACGTCAGCATCAGCGCGGGAACTGGCCGGCTCCCAATCAGAGGTTCCTTACACCTATATGATCCTTCACCGCCGCACACAGACTGCTCAGCAAGACGAGGTCAACAAAAGAGGTGAGAGTAGCCAGGTGGCGGTGCTGCCAATATCACCAGCACCAGCAGCCCGCCAGCCGCCGCCCAGGTGACTGAACGCTCCCGAGGTCACCCCTACCACCCTTCCACAACCACCGCCACCACTCGCCTTGTGGAAGACAAATACAACCAAACAAGAGAATGGATCCTAAGAAAAGCGGCGGGAGTGTTGTGGGAGATGCTGGTGGCGACCACATTTCAAACTATCTCAACGGCCTTAACCCTGGAGCCCGCCCTCCACACCAAGAGCGGCCTCGAAAGGTCGCAAGCTTATATTTGTCAACACTCATCCATTGTTCTTCGCCCAACACCCGTAACCAATTCATGCAAATAACACAAGGTTCCAAAGTTACAATGCACACAGTAACCTAAAGGCTTATAACCCACATACACACGGTATTAAACACTAGGCAGTTAGGACAACTATAATGAGAATTTCAAGTTCATTTCACTAGTCGTTTTTATTTGGAAGACATGGAGTGGGTATAGTGTGGCTGGTGAGCGCG